CAGGTATTGACTTCCAGGTCCTTTTGATCATTGCAGATATGTTCTGAATCATGGTTAGATTTAAAGATTTTAAATAGTTGGTTGGGCATATTCTTCTTTTTTTAAGCAGGAGATAAAATAAGTCCATAACTACTACTTCTGGGTAAGTAGTTGTATTCCAACAACAGTTCTCTGACACCTACTAGGTGTCAATTCAGGTCCGACACTAGTGAGAGTAAGTTCAGGACTGTAAATTATAAGGGCTCAGTTTTACAGGATTTCCAGCACCTCAGATGGCCCCCAGGACTATCCGCACTTCTGATGGGCTGGTTTGACTACGTATTTGGGAGTTTTCATGACCCCTCTTTAGGTTTGATCATTTGCTAGAATGACTCACAGAACTCAGGAAAGGTAAAGGTACTGTGCTTTCAATGACCATTTTATTAAAAGGATGCAAAACAAACAGTCACCTCATTGGCATAACAAAACACACTTTTATCAGGGAATTCTAAGGGTTTTTGAAGCTTTGTACCAGGCACTAGGGACAGAGACCAGTATATATTTTTTCTTATATCGTGGTAGTAAAGTCAGAGTAATGCTTTTAATAAGCATAATCAATTTACAGGACATTTTTACCCTAAAGTGAATGGCAGAAGGGTTCATTTAGGCATCAATTTGAGTGGCTGTACTGGATTGCTTTCCATTAGATAAGACTTCAAGAAATCAAAACATAAGAGGTGGTTTATAGTGCTAAAAAAAGAGAGAGCTTATTTTGACTTTCATTTAATACTCAGATTTCTAAGTCTTCAAAATGAAGAATTATTTTATGAAGTTGATTTTGGGTTTGAATTATGTATGACATTTAACTTACATTTGTGTTTACAAATGATTTGGAGCATGCTTATACAGGTAAATATATATATTCTTTGAATATTACTGTGTTTATACTAACTTATTAAGCCATGTGTTGATTTCCATTTTTCATATTCTTTAAAATGTGTACTCTGCCACACTAAGATACATCATAATTAAAATGCCAAAGGTTAAAGATAAAGAGAGAATCTTAAAAACAGCAAGAGAAAAGCAGAGTTACCTACAAAGGAGTTCCCATAAGACTGTCAGCTGATTTCTCAAAAGAAACTTTGCAGGCAAGGAGGGACTGGCAAGCAGTATTAAAAGTGATGAAAAGCAAGGACCTACAACCTAGATTACTCTATCCAGCAAAGCTATCATTTAGAATAGAAGGGAGGATAAAGTGCTTCCCAGACAAGATAAAGCTAAAGGAGTTCATCATCACCAAGCCATTTAATATGAAATGTTACAGGGACTTATTTAAGAAAAAGAAGATCAGAACTGTGAACATTAAAAAGGCAACAAATGAACAATTGTCAACAACTGAATCTAAAAAAAATACAACAGCAACAACAAAAAAAGACAAAAACAAACTAAGCAAACAACCATAACAGGAATGGAATCATAGGTGTGAAGATCATTTGAAAGGTTATCAGCTGGGAGAGGGAAGTGGGAGAATGGGGGAAAAGGAGCAGGGACTGAAAAAGTATAACTGGTAGGTAAAAGTAGACAGGGGATTGTTAAGAATAGTATAGGCAATGGAGAAGCCAAAGAACTTATTTATATGCATGACCCATGGGCATGAACTAAGGGGTAGGGGAATTGCTGAAAGGAAGAGGGGTATCAGGTGGAGGGGGGCAAAGGGAGAAAAGCTGGGACAACCGTAATAACATAAACAATAAAATATACTTAGAAAAAATAAAACACTGTATGAGTCAAACAGAACAAACCGCTACTGATAAAAGGTACTCCATGGGAAAAAATAAAAATAAAATGTGCAGTCTAACCTTCATAAGATAGACTAGTATTATTAACAGCAGCATAATAGTTTATTATTAATTATAATAACTACCATATATGAAATCACTTTTATTATTTTGAATAATAAAAGTATAATTGAAGTACTTGATAATGTAGTCAAAACTAAATATGGATGCCTGAGGAAGTGTTGGGCATGCATTGGGTTGCTCATGAAAGACTTCTGTGAGAAAAAGTATGTGGTGAAGAATTTGGGAGATATGGATTGGTAGCCAGCAGATGATAACCTTATCTTGGATTACTAAAATGTTTTAACTAGTTACCTCCCACTAAATGTGTTCTTCAGATAGAAATAATATTAGGTAACTAATACTTAATCAGAAAATTCTGGAAAGCATAGTATTTGGAGAACCAAATGATGCCATTTCATTCTCAAAGCAGGCACCATCAATGATCATTATTTACAGTGTTTAGGTATAAATCATAGTTGAGGGACATATTATCTCTATGTACAATACTTAACATTGGGCCAGCTCTTTGTCTAATTTAGCATTAGTGGAATTGGAAAACTTGAACTTTTAGAAATGGGTTTTTTTAAATTAGAAGACTTAGTGAATATTTGTCCCTAGTTTTTATAATTTACGGGGGTAAAATTATACTTTGGTGGATGATTGAGAATGGATAGTAGGATCCATGGTTTCTCTAGGAGCTTTTACTCTGATTCAGTGGCTACACAACTTGATTGTGCATCAGAACCATCCTGAGGGCCCCCCTCTACTTAATCAGGAACTTTACATTATTACATATTTATAAGAACATATACAAAAGTAGAATAATATAAGGAGTAGTGGGATTTTAGAATTATGTATATACAGGTTCTGGCACAAATAACACCCCTTCTTTATTACAAAATTATAAGCATGTAATTTTGTAACATAACAATATCAAACTCAAGCACACCATATGACATTTTAAGTGAAATGTTCAAATTAAAACTATAAATTATTACACTTATATTATTACCCTACCAACCACACTCAAGCAGGCATTACTTCTGTGTACTAGGGTTTTTCTGAGAATTTTTGATTCACACTTGGAGTCAGAACCTGGAAACTATTTAAGACAAATTCTCACACATACACGCACCAGCTCACCAGGTGATTCTGATGCACAGTTGAGATTGGGAAGCATTCATTGTACTAGGGGAATCTCTAGATAAATGTTTCAGAACAAATGCTATTTAAATGCTATTTATCTTGACCTATATTTTTACCACCTTCATATCTATATTTATTCTAACTTCCAGCATTTTCCTTAAAATTTTTAATCAAATAAAATTTGGGTAGTTTAAGTAATACTTTATTAGTGCCTCTAGTATGTTAATGTATGAATATGAAATTAATGCTAAGTGTACTTCTTTTAAAAGAAATGCCCTGCCTTGTTAGAGCTTTTACTTCAAGTATTTTGCCCAAACATCTTTGTCTTTCCTGGTCGATTTGATTTCTTCTACATTATCATGGAAATACAAATCCATAAGGTGGTAAATGTGTAGTTTCTTATAACTGCAATTGGAAGATTGGGTGGATCTGGAATGATTTTCTACTGACTCAGGAGTGTGTTCAGAGTTCTTTTTTCTCTGTTGTTTATACCTAGTAGTTAACTTTTTTTTGGACTGCTTTGACTTAGCATTGCTCAGAATGCTTCTTTGTGAGGGCTATCAAATTGATACAAGTGATACACACTATCTTCTGTTTTAAACTCTAATTAAGCTATACGTATTCTATGCCAACATGAGTTTTTAAAACTTCGGGTGGAAATCTTTGTTTAGATGTGTCAGAAGTAACTATTCTTTAGGATACTTACTGTGTATTTCAGATACAATACTTTGTCAGGTCAGTTAACAAAGATTGTCTGAATAACTGTGATGTAAATACTAATGAGGACATTTATTGTCTCATGTAAGAGTTCTGGAAGGAGGTGGTTCTACAGTTATCTAATTTAGTATTCTAATTGGATCATTTTTTTCTCTGATTTTCTTTTCCCCATCATGGCCACAGATAGCTGCAATAGGTCTAAACATCATGTTCTTATGCAATAAAATCCCAAAACTGGAAGAATGAGTAGGACCTTTTCCACAAGTCTCTCCTTTTTTTCTGGGTAGAAAATCTTTCCCTGCAACCCTCAGCAGACTTTCTCTTATCTCCCATTAAGTAAAACCAGTTCCATACCCAATCCTAAGTCAGTTACTGACAAGAGGAAATAGGATTCCTATTATCACCTCAGAACAATATTGGCTCATCCCCTGGAAATGGAGGAGGGACCCACCCAATAAATTTCCTTTATGTCTCATCTTAAACAACATTAGTGTTTTGTTATCACAGGAGAGGCAGAGGCTGATGGGTAGGCAATCATTAGTATATGCCAAACTATAATAATTAATTTATATGTGACATTTTCCACATACCACATAAAAGGTATTCACATGGAAAGTGAAAATTCAGTATTTTAACCTTTAGCACACATGCATATTCATTTGAGAAGGATGTTCTCCTCTAAGTGCTACTTCATGATGGCAAAGGAAGCCAGTGTCATGGGTTTCAGTCTAATCTACTAGTTGCTGAGTGTTCTTATTTTTATCTTGGGTATAGTTAGTTGATTTCCCTTTGAGATTATGCTCTTCATTGGTATTATTGGGTTGGCCAAAAAGTTCTCTTGGTTTTTTCTGTAAGGTGGCTCTAGCAGAGCTTAGTTGTCTTTGACTGCATTCAAAACAATGTTGTTAGATTTGTATTGTGACAGTTGTCAAATTTGCATGCGTTTTTAAAAAAGCTTAACAAAATTGGTCAATTTTTATATAGCCATTTTAATATTGAAGATGGAAGAAAATATACATTTTTGGCATATTATGCTTTATTATTTCAAGAAAGGTAAAAATGCAACTGAATGCAAAAAAAAAAGATGGGTGCAGTGTGTGGAGAAGGTGCTGTGACTGATTGAATGTGTCAAGAGTGGTTTGTGGAGTTTCATGCTGGAGAGTTCTTGCTGGATGGTGATCCATGGTTGGGGAGACCAGTTGAAGTTGACAGCAATCAAATCGAGACATTAATTGAGAACAATCAACGTTATACTCAATACATGATTTTGGCAGTAGTTGCTGATTCTTTTTAATTAATTGGTACTTGTCCTTCTAGGTGGATTTTCCACAGTTTTCCTGGTGCGGACTCATGGTGGAACCCGCCATGCATTGAAGCGAATGTATGTCAACAACTTGCCAGACCTCAACATTTGTAAAAGGGAAATTAAAATTATGGTAAGTGAAAGCATAATTATGTTTAGAAATTTGGTGTGTTTTCCTTTGGTTTTGCTCTATGGCATTAGCCAGGTTTTAAGCATGCTGCTTATTGCTTTATGCACATCTATGAAAGCTGTTGGAAATCATTAAATTAACTTGGAAAATTACCTAAAAAGAAACCACTGTCCTGAGTTTAATGTTTACCACTCATATGAGTGTTCAGTATATTTATTAGTATGTGTTTATATTCACAGAAAATAATTAGTTTTGCTTTTTATTTTTAAAATCATGTATAAAGTTCAGTTTATTTGGTGTACTCTGCAGTATGTAAAGTATCCTTCAGCAAAAGAAAAATTCTTTTTAAATATTAGGCCCTGGCTAATGTGGCTCAGTGGATTGAGCACTAGCCTGCAAACCAAAAGGTTGCTGGTTTGATTCCCTATCACCGCACATGCCTGGGCTGTGGGCCAGGTCCCTAGTTGGGGGCATGCGGAAGGCAATGGATTGTTTCTCTCTTTCTCCCTCCCTTTTCTTCTCTCTCAAAATAAGTAAATGAAATCTTTAAAAATAAATAAATATATATTAGGAAATGTGAAAATATTTTAATAGGCCATTAAAGAAAATTTCAGTAACTCAGTTAACTAAGCAGTAAAAAAAATAACATTACAAAGTAAAAATTCCCTTTTTTTTAGGGTTGCTTATTCTCAGTGCTCCAGATGGCTTCTGTTAATTTTGTCCCACTCGCCCTCCTCTTCCCTTCTTTTGTCTGTTCTCTTCTTCCTCTACATCAACTGCGTTTCAAGATCTAATATATACATATACATTTAAAAATTTTTATTGAGGTGCAGTTCTCAATAATATAACCATTTAAGGTGAATAGTTCAGTGACATTTAGTATATTCACAATGTTGATGCAATCTAGTTCTAAAATCTTTTCATCACTTCAAAAGGAAACCCTCTTCCCATTAAGCAGTTGCATTCTATTCCCCTCTTGATTTAGCTGTTGACAGCCACCCATCTACCTTATGTCTCTGTGGATTTATCTGTTCTGAATAATTAATATAAATGGAGTCATGTCCTATGTGACCTTTTGTGTTTGGCTTCTTCCACTTAACATGTTTTTGAGGTTTAGTGACATTGTAGTATGTACTTCATTTTTATGGTCGAATAATATTCCACTGCACATATGTGTATCATATTTGTTTATCTGTTGTTGGACTTTTTAAAACAAACATCGATGAACTTTTGGGTTGTTTCTACCTTTTAGCTGTTGTGAATAGTGCTGCTATGAATTATGTGTGTTACATGTTTTTGTTTGAGTACCTGTTTTCAGTTCTATTGGGTATATGTCTGGGAGTGGAATTGCTGAGTCATATGATAATTTTGTGTTTAACTTTTTAAGGAACAATTATACTGTTTTCCACAGTGGCTGAATCATTTTATATTCATGCCACCAATATATGCATTTTCTAGTTTTTAAACAATTCATTTTCGGTTTTCAATTATATTTGACATTCTATATTGTATTATTTTAGGTGTATAACAATACTGGTTAGACATTTATATATGAATGTTAGAGTGTTTCCATATCCTTGTTTTCCCATACTTGTTATTACTGTCAGTTCTACTGCTAAGAGGTGGATTTCTTATTTTTTATCGACATCTTTATTATCACACCTATTTTGACTCCTTTGTTTGAAGATGGGCACCTTTATACAGTCTGGCTTGTCTGAATTCTGCTTTAGTTGTCCCTATTCCTTACATTTGAAATTTACTTTTTTTAAGGTAAGGCTATAAGCATAAAGAGTAAAAAGATTTACCCCAAGATAACTGGGAAATCTTAGGCCAAGTTCTCTAACTTGAACCAGATATGGTATTTTTGTGCCATAATTCTTCCTTTAGTAGAATGTTTATAATTTAGAGACATAAAATTCAAGGCCCCTCCCCCCAACTGGAATTATCTTTTTATCTTCTGGAGGACGGGCCCCTTTTAGTACAGTCTCCCCCTGGTACGTGAGTGTTCTAGGAACCCACCTGTATTGGTGTACCAGTTGGAGTTGTTGGGAGAGGCTGTGTGAATTTTTTTTGAAGACTCAACACGTTTGCTCATTTCATGATGGGTGATTTACAGGCACACCTGCCCAGACTGCACTGAGTGTTCAGTAGTTTTTGATCAAAAATGGCATGACCCCAATGCCTAGCCCTCCCTATTCACCTGATCTCTCCCTTGATGAAAAAAGTCCTCAAATGGAAACATTTTGCTGAAGTGGAAGAAAGAGGTGAAACAAAAAACAACAGAAGCACTAAAATGCATTCAAATTGATGAGTTCAAAGACTGTTTTGAGCACTGGAAAAAAATTCTTGATAGGTGTATTGCATCAAATGGAGAGTTTTTGGAAGGTGACTGAAGTTTAAACATGGAGAAATAAATACACAATTTTTTATAAGTTTCGCCTTTTGGCAGGGGGTGGGGGGGTTCCCTGTCATAGTCATCATCAACAGTAGCAACGCTTAAATCTTATGCTTTTGAACAAGTTATTTTAGGGAGATCAGCTCTTTAGAGCAGTGGTCCTCCAACTTTTTTTGATGACCTATCTCCCATTATGTATATTTATTTATGAATTAATGACATATTTAGCTGCCATTGCAAATATTTCAAGTTATATTGCACAGTTAAAATTAGGTTTATTAATGATAGTGGATGTAAATTTATTTAAAATAGTATTCTTGATAATTGTTTTTTAATTTTTACATAAACCTAATTATATCATCATTATTTTAAACCTCAGTAATCTGTGCTGATGGTTATCTCTTACTGTGAGCCAAAAGTGTGAGATTTGCCGTTTTCTTGTTATTTCCTTGTATTTGTATTATTAGCATTATCTTTATAGTTTCTTTACAGAAATCTTTTTAGGCCGCTTTTTGACTTTTTATATTATTAGTAGTACATACATTTAAAAATCCACTTAAGTAGGTACATGTTAACTGTAGTACACTGCATGCAAAACAAGCAAATGAGCATAATAGTTATTTCATAAATACAAAGGTTGGCAAAAGTAGGTTTACAGTTGTTTGTATGAAAAATACAATAATTAATAAATAATACAAGAATAAATTTTGTGTTTCCTGTACTTACAACTGTAAACCTACTTTTGCCAGCCTCTGTATTAGAGCTTATATTTTTAAGATAAAAGTAAATATAGTAAAAATTATGGTATTCTATAGTAAATATTTTATCCTTGAGTCCCTAAGGGCTATCTTGCACACTAACATTTGGAGACTATTACTTTTGAGTGAACCATCTTTCTTCGTGATTGAATTAAAAAATAAGTATTCACTGAATAATTTGCTTGTCAGAAAATGACAGTCAAATGTTAAGTACTTTCCATTGGAACTGTAGAAACCTTTTTGAAATATGTCAGATTCTATACTCATGCCTGAGTTTTAATTTTTGAAATTCTCTAAAAACATTAATTTAGACTTAAAACTATTACTAATGATAGAGCTTTAAAATGTATATTTTTCTGATTCTTAAAATTTTGTTTTTTTTTATAGAAAGAGCTATCTGGACACAAAAATATTGTGGGTTATCTGGACTGTGCTGTTAATTCAATTAGTGATAATGTATGGGAAGTGCTTATCTTAATGGAATATTGTCGAGGTAAGTTTTTTGTCTGCATTTGCTTTATACTAAAAAATAATAGCTTTAAAATGGGTTACTAGGTGTCACCTTATTATAGACAGTTATTGCAATCTCAACTTTAATTATCTGTGTAATTAAGGAATGCTGTTAAAATTATTTAAAACTGCCCTTACTGGTGTGACTTAGTGGATTGGGTATTGTCCTGGAGACCAAAAGGTCACCAGTTCAGTTCCCAGTCAGGGCATATGCCTGGGTTGTAGGCCAGGTCTCCGATTGGCAGTGTGAGAGATGCAACCTATTGATGTTTCTCTTCCTCTCTTTCTCCCTCTCTTCCTCTCTCTCTAAAAATAAGTAAATATGATCTTAAAAAAACCCCAACAAAACTCAAGTTGTTAAAAAAATATTTAAAACCTAGTCTAGGTAAATGACAAGGAAAGATGCTGTTGGATTTAAAACAGGAAATCTAAGCAGGTAAAGAGTACCTGCACTTCATGCTTCCAATCCAGTCCTTTTAGAATCCAATCAAGAAGAACATAATATATCAATATTAGTGTTAGAAGGTATTTTTTCCATCAGTCTACCATGTTATCTTTCAACATATTAAATGTAATTTGGGGAATATATTTTTATCTATAATTTTTATAAACTTGTATTATTTCATATTTTGGAATTCTTTTGTAAATATCAGAAGATAGAAAACCACATTTTATTTGGACCTACTGTGGTATTTCTTAAAATAAATAATTACTTGTATAGGATGCTGTAAGAATAATGCTAACTTAAGAAAATTCTCTGAAATTTTTTTTACTTTAATGTGTGAAGGGGGTAATTAAACTATTTCTTGCAAACTTAAAAAAAAATATTTGGATTCTCTTAAGACAGTTATCATTGTTATTTGTGATACCAGAGACTCTTGTCATTTCCTGAAGGTTAGAGGAGAAGGATGATGGTAGTGGTGATGGAGAAATATGTTCTCTCTTACTTCAGTCTTGTAAGGAGGGAGGACAGAGGGAACTAAAGTGAGTTAATATTATAATGTCTATTGCAGTGTATTTATAGCTTATTATATAATGTAAGAAGTTAGATGTTTTCTCTTGTTCATATCTCTACTGTGAAGCATTGTGATAAGGAGAAGATAATGGTTTTTCTCTACCTCACTTTTCTGAATTCTAGCATTTTTTGTTCTGATTCTTAGCTGGATTAAAGACAGTTGAATTGGGCATAATTATAACCCTGGATGAGTTTAATTAATTGTCATCCAGAAGATGTTTTAAAAGGAAAGCCAAATGAACTTCCATTTTTAGGAGACAATTTGTTTTAAGGAAGGCATTCTTTTGCTTTTAAAAATGAACAGTTTTAAAAATCTGGTTTGAATCAACAAGCTTTGTTTTACATGAAATTTTTATTTTGATCAGTTATTCATTTATATATTTTAAAAAGTCAAATAGTAGATCTGTTAAGCTATGGCTAAATCATATCATAATCCTTGAGATATTTCTCCTTATATTTACTTCTGTATTTCTATACTGCATTATGTAGAGGAGAGTTGGTAGTTTTAGTGAGATCTTTAGAGTATGAAAGAAAAAGAAGGACATTAAAAAATCAGGGGAAATAATGTGATTCTGGGCTTTTGCAAGTTTCGCAGTCCTCATTTTCTGTTCTCATATTTTAGATAGTATCTCCAAGAAAAGATGAGGAATTTACTGTCAGTGTAGTATAGTCTCATTTTTTATATTGAATTAATCATCAGTGTTTAAATTATTTTATTTGCCATTAAACTATGACATGTAATAGTCTGTAATTGTATTTTCTTTCTTTTTATTTATCTTGGAGTTAATAATTATGTCAATTTTTACTTGCTTTATTTTCTTTATACATATTAGTATATTGGCACCACCTTCTCCAATGTAAATTTTTATGCAATATGTTTAAATATTTTAATACTGTGTCAGTTTCATTTTTTCTTTCCTTAGGAACATCCTTTTGGGAGACTTAACTTTGTTTAGTTTTGAACAGCATTTAGCTGTCATTCTGGGAATTCCCTTTGCCTTCCTCCTGTCTTAGACTCCCTTCTACTCATGCGTCCCACTTGTTTTTATAACTACCTTGGCAGAGTACATTTTTCGGTAGATTTCTGGTAATGGATTTATGGGTAAAAACATTTTTGAAACCTTTCATATATAAAAATAATTTTATTCTGCACCCATATTTGTTAATTTGGCTAGATAAAAAGTTGTAGGTTAGATATAATTTTGATTTATAATTTTGAAAGCCTTATTTCATTTTTTCCCTACAAGTTGGATGCATTATGATTCCTCCGTTTTTTTGTGTGACCTGTTTTTTTCCCATGGACACTTCTTGAATCTTTTCCTTTATCTCCAGCATTCTAAAATTTTAAGTTATATGTGCCTTGGTTGTGGTGATTTGGGTATTTGTTTTTTTTTTTTTTTTCCCCTGGGCACTTAGTTTTTCTCTTTCATATTCTCTGTTCTCTCTTTTTTGGACTTTTCATTTTAGGATATTAGGTTCCTGGATTGATTGCTCCTCTGGTTTTCTTTTTCTTTTTATTCTAATTGTGTTGGGAACATTCCTTACATTTATCTTTCAGTTCCCCTATAGACATTTGTATTTCTGCTGTGTTATTTTTAATTCCCAAGAACTCTTTCTTGTTCTCTTCATGTTGTTCTTTGTTAAAATACACCTTGCTCTTGTTTTAGGTGTACATATTTTGTTTTTTACTGATATTAGTTGCAGCTTCTAAAAAGATTTTTATTCTGTTTCTTGCATTTGTTTATTTCTGGAATTTTTCTATTTGCTATAATGCCCTCTCCATTGTGTTAGAACTTTTATTTTTAATGTTTTACCAGACAAACTTACTGTATGCACTACAGATCAGAAGGTACTCGAGTAGACAGTTATATATTAAAAGAAGGAGTCCAGAGGATCTGAATAGAGCATGCTCATCAGTTCCTTTTCTCAGATGAATCAGTAAGATAAGTTTCCAGTGGGTTGGAGGGGTAGGGAATGGGCAAATAAATGCTCTTCCCTTACTTCCTCTATAAAAGCTAATTGTTTTATATAAAATAGTTGAAGAATGAAAATATTTCAGTGAGGAATCAGTTTTATGTATGTATAGTTCAAGTACATTGGTTTTGATTATGTAGAGATAAAACTGTATAGAAAGTAGAAGAATGTGTTAAATACCTCCTACCTCACCATGGTTTCAGGTATCAAATGTTTACAGTCATCTTTTGTCTAATGTTAGGTATCTGCAGGCTCATGGTGTGGCACTGCCTAGTTTGCCAGTGTTCTGAGGTATAAGTTAAAGAGAGATTATGTGCTTTAGGTGCCAAACTTTCAGGAATTGTAGTTGGTATTTGGAATATATTTGTATTTTATGAAAAGAGCTTTTATTGGTAGGAGGTGTTCTACAGAAATTTTTATGAATAATGTATCTGTTAGCTTTTGCTTGACAATAAAACATTACAAAACTCAGTACCATAAAACAACAGGTATTGTTTGTGTATCGTGGGTCAACTGTTCTAGACTGAACTTGGTGGGATGACATTACTCATTTTGGCTGGGCTTGCTCATGTGCCAGTGAGGTTTCTGGGGCTGGTTTCACACATTCCTTGTCTTCTTCGGGGCACTAACAAGCTGTCCTGGGGATGCTTTTTGCATGGAGATGGTAGAAACACAAGAGGGCAAGTGGAGCATATGAGGGTCATAAGGCCTGCCACTTCTGTCTTATTCTGTTGTATAATGACATAGGAAGGTTGTTGGATGACCACTGTAAGAGGTTAGGAAAATGCTGACTTTTTTAGTGATGAAATTGGCAGAGAATAAAAGCTTTTGTTTAGGAAATGATATCTGTTTGAAACATATGGAAGATTTGAGAGCTGTATGCATCTTGTTTTAAAAGACCTTCATTCAGTACATATTTTTTAATCTTTTCATTAGAATAACCTTACTTTAATGTAATTTTCAGAAGAGCTTGATTTTGAATAATAAAAATTTTTTGTGTGTCTACATTTGAAATGCAGCTCAAATATAGCTTTTAGCTTTTTTGGGGGACCTGAATTTCGTGATTCAAGGTTTCTAGCTCAAAGATCTCTGAATGGAAGCAAGAGGGTTAACATTTGTTTAAAATTTATTCTACTCACTACAACATCAAACCTTTAGAAGAGGTGGAGTGAGTTTAAGGTTTTGATTGCTTTAGCTTTGAAATGGTATTTCAAGAATGTTAATGAATATCAAGAAAACATTTTTTCATCTTGTTTAATTTTGGGTCAAAGTGAGTCAGGATGTCTGACAAGAGGATGAAAGAAACTGCTGCCTGGTCAGGTGCCTTGCTCTTCAGAGAATCCCTGAACAAATTACAGCCAAGTAGATTTGAGTTTTCTGAGAGCTGGAGATTGATAGGTGAAAGTCCATGTTCTTTTTGCTCTAAAATTCTTAGAAAAAAACCCCATTTCAGAAAATACATGAGAATGCTGTTTAGACAGTAATAATAAAAGGAATAGGTGTGCATGCACATTCTGACAGATTTCAAAATAGCAAACATTTTATGTATTTATTTATTTATTTATTTTTAATTTTATTCAAGTGTTAAAGTTTCAAGTTAGCATTGGCTTGCCTTTTTAAATTCCTGAACTTGATTTTTATTAGAATAGTTTCTGAATGAGCCACATATTTACTTGTATTCTTAAAATATAACGATTGTTAACTTTTGAATAATTAAGAATTTCCATCATTAGACCGCCTCTCAGGGATCTTGTGTGGCTATTTGATTTTAGCATCCCTTACCTGGTTTAGAGTATTAGCGTCCTAACCCATCTCTCCATTTCCACTCTTGTGATTCCCTTTTTCCCCAATCCAGGAAAAGGTTTGAAAAGTCACGTCCAGAGTTTCCTTGGTTCTTAAGTTACAATGCTAAGTATTTCTGATTGCTATCTGCCTTGTCATCATCATCTCACCTTACTCTCTTCTCTGCTTTCTAGACCACGTACACATTGGCTTTCTTTAGGCTATTTGGAGTCATTAAGCTCCTTCCCAGCTGGATGCCTTTGTAATTGCCACTTCCTATGACTATCTTGCTTTTGTTCCGAATCTCTTCCTGGTTAATTCCTGCCTATTCTTAGTTCTCAACAGAAATATCACTTCCTTAGGCCTTATCTGATATCTTCTCTTCCCCATCCTTCACCAATTTATATAGGTTTCTCTTCTATTATTCTTACTGTGCATAATTATGATGTGTTTTATTTGTGAGTTTGTTTAATGTTTATCTCTGCCTTTAGACTATAAATTCTATGATAATAGAAACTTTTTTGGGGGGGGGGCTCATCATTGTTTACCCAATAACTAGCACAGAATGGAATAAACATTTTAAAACCCCATGATGCTGTCAATGATGTATACTCTCCTGATTTCATAGATGTTAAAATGCTAAAAAAAAAAAAAGGCAATAGCCTTAGTGAGACATTATCTGTCTAAGGTCTTCTCATGTTAAAATAAAAAATGTGAAAAAATGTATTTCATTGAATCAGTACTTAATGGTGTAATAAGTATCCTTATTAGGGGAATAATGAAAAAGCCAATTTCCCAGTACCTGAGACCATAATGCATCTCTTAACTTTTTTGTGATAGACTGCATTTATTAAAAATATGTCCTTTCAAAATTACTTTTTTGGTTAGCTGGGCAAGTAGTGAATCAGATGAATAAGAAGCTGCAGACAGGTTTTACGGAACCGGAAGTGTTACAGATATTCTGCGATACCTGTGAAGCTGTTGCAAGGTTACATCAGTGTCAGACTCCAATAATTCATCGGGACCTGAAGGTAGGAACTTTGGACTACTTATGGATTAATGCATTTTAAACTTCCAAATTAAAATTTTCTTTGGCTGTTTTCATCTAAACCAGTTTTTATCACTAGCACTGACATTGGTCCATGTTTCCTGCTGCATTTCCTGAGGGCATCTAACGACTGGCTATAGAATTTGGTGGTGATTATCTTTAAGATCACTTTATGTTACCTGTTAGTGCAGTCTGAATATGATACCCATTTGCTACATTGGAAAAAGTTCTCCGAAGAGATTAAACATTCCTGGTATCATATTGCTAGAGATATCAGTACACATATCCTGTAAAACCATAGGCGTCGTCCTAGCTGGGTGGCTCAGTTTGTTGGAGCATTGTCCTGTGCACCAAAGGTTGTGGGCTGGATCCCCATTTGGGGTGCGAATGGAATGCAACTGATCCATGTTTCCCTCTCCCCCTCTCCCTTCCTTTCTCTCTCTAAAATGAATAAACATTTTCTCGAGTAAGGATTAAAACAATAACATCAACAAAACTATAGGTGTCGTCTTTGATACCCACAATACTACCCCTTTCTCTGCTTCACGTTTATGGAGAATCACCTTCTTAGTGAGTTCCATCTTGTACTGCCTCATTTATAATTGCAACCTAACATTCTTCTTTCCCACTTGCTCTACCTTTTATTATTACTTGTCGTTGTCTAAGATACTATATAATTTGCTTATGTGTTAGGCCTACTGTTTATTTTCTTTTCTCTCCCACTAAAATATAAGCTCCATGTGCACCAGGATTTTTCTCTTTTGTATTGATGTATTCAAGCATTTGGAACAGAGCCTGGTACATAGTGTGTTCTCAATAATTAATATTTAATGAAGGAATGAATCCTAATTCTGACCAATTACACAAAATTTATGAAAGTTAATAATAAAACACTCTTTAAGATACAAGAGAATAGAGGATCTTATTTAGAATATAGGTTGTAACCATGAAAACATCCAGGGAACCTATGGTAAAAGGATACAAGTTAAGACAAGGTTGAAATGCATGACTGTAGACCTCTGTCCCTTAATTTGGGTAACTAGTATAGTTTATTTCAGTTCTTTTGAAATGCGACTTTTACTTTTTCCTAATAATTTGGTATGACTTTTTTAGATTATTAAAAATTACTAAAAATCATGAACTATTTTTTAAAAAGATTTTATTTATTTTTAGACAGAGGGTAAGGGAGGAAGGAAGAGAGGGAGAGAAACACGAAGGTATGGTTGCCTCTCACTTGCCCCCTACTGGGGACCTGGCCCACAGCCCTGGCATGTGCCCTGACTGGGAATCGAACTGGTGACGCTTTGGTTCGCAGGCTGGCACTCAATCCACTGAGCCACACCAGCCAGGGCAAATCATTAACTTTTTTCATGTAGATATTTTCAAGTGAGGCTTAATAATTTAAAACTAGAAAAGACATAAAACTGTGTAATTTTGTATAGGCCATATTGCATATGCTTATTTCTTTTTTGTGTGTAAATTTAAGCAAACATTTTAGATTTCTTGTACAAATCTTTATTTTGTGTAAATCTTTTACGTCATAGACTAATATGAAATCTAGAGGAAAAATGATAAACAGTAATGTAAGTATTTTGATGGAATTGAGAGAAATTGAAATGCTGTCCAAAACTGTTACAAAAATAAAAATATTGTGGAAAAATGTAATAAAAATGGTATCATTTATTGAGTGCTTACTTTATTCCAGGTACTGTTCTAAGCACTCTACATGTTTTAATTAATTTAATTTTTACAATAATAGATACTACCTTTCCCATTTTGTAGGTATGGAAACTAAAGCACAGAGTGGTTAAGCAAATTATCCAAGGGTATGCATGCTAGTGAGTAGTAGAGCTGGGCTATGAATATATACTTTCTTGTTCTAGAAACCACATGAATTTGTTTACTTAAGTTACTACAACTCTATTCTCCAAATTGAGACATTAAGTAAAATCTTTTTCAGTGCAGTATTTTAGATAAAAATGGTATTAGGAGTCAGAGGTAGAATTTTAATGGTTTTTGCTATTGCTTACCTGCAGATAAAATGAAGTGACAGAAATGGGGACATATGGAGGTATAGTATAGACTCTGACTGCTACAAGTTCTTTGCTTTCCCTGAAGCACCTTTAGAGAGGATTTAGGGTTTTTTGTTCCCTACACAGATCATCCTGGGATTAGAGAAACACTTCCGTGTTCTTAGAGAAGCAGTAGAGATAATAGAATAGTATATTTTTAGTGTGGTTCATTTGACCTTCCTCATAATTTGAGGTACCATGTATATAGTATATATATGATATGTATATTTGTGTATATATATGTCACAAACACTTCAGTGTTTATTCAGTAAGGTCATGGTTGTAAGAAAATAGTTTTCATTTTGAAATAGTATGAATTAATTGATTTTCTTCTCTTAAGGTGGAAAATATTTTATTGAATGATGGTGGAAACTATGTACTTTGTGATTTTGGCAGTGCCACTAACAAATTTCTTAATCCTCAAAAAGATGGAGTTAATGTAGTAGAAGAAGAAATTAAAAAGTAAGTGTTCATCTTTACTGTGTTTTCTTAAGGGAATTTTAGTTAACTTGGGCCTGCGATCAACTCTACTAATACGTATTATAGATATTCCATTCATATTACTTCAAAATATTTTTATGCCATAGATATTAATTCATTTATGTCTGATCTAGCTTGATAGGAAATACATTTTACCATGGATACAAGTTTTTCATCTACATTGTAAACACATTTATCAAGAAAGTTGTTAAATAAGCTATAGTAATTAGTGAAATTATTAAAGGGAATTTTCAGTAATTATTGAGTTCATTTAAGCTCTTTGTTTTTTACTGATACCGAGGATTTGTCTTGTTAGGAAAATTACTTGAAAGCATAAAATATAAACTTTTACTTTATATTTAATATTAAGAAGTTGATTTCTGTATGCATTGAAAACTATGCTGAAACGGTGTTACTTTAATAGTGTTCTAGAAAGCTCTCTGGTAGAAAAATAAGTCATATCTGCTTTATGTTTTTAAATCTTGTACTTTCTATGGCTGCTACATTACCTGTAAAGATTTTTCTGTGACTTTTCTGTTTTCTAATTTTAGAAAATGGAACCGTTTATAAATCTTAGATTACTTTAATAGAATGATACAGAATGCAGAAATATCTGTCAGAATAGGAATTTCTAAGTAGTTGCCTTTTTCTAAGTTGTCCACTTCACAAATTCTCGATTTTTTAAGACTCTGTAGGAGCTATTTATTTGAATTGCAATTTATATTTTGAAATAGCTCAAGTAGAGCTGATACATTTTGAAATGAGCCAAGTAGACTTTGGCTCATTTATTATATAACACTATGGATTTCTTGACTGCATATTTCTACTCAGGGAACTTAGCTTATGATGATTATGTTAGATTCCATAAAAACAAACTCTTTAGTAAACATAAATGTCCCAAAAAATTAACAATAAATTATTAAACTTGCTTCCTGGGGTTGAGGCTAATTCCTAAAAATGATTGGATTGTTATATATAATGGCTGCTATAAAATTCTGCTCAAGCTAGGTTTTATATCTTGTTGCTGAGATCTGAAGTATACAGTTAAGGTTCAGTAGAATTTTGCATTAGTAATAAATGTAGGCTATGAGGGTGTTCTTGTGCTTTGTGGCTCAATTAAAGAGTTAATGGCCTAACCATTTATTCAATAACAGATGTTTATTACATAGGGACTACAGTGTAGTGGACACTGTTGTTGGTGCTGCAGGAGACCTGTGAACGAAAGTCCTGCCTACATGCAGTTCATGTTCTGGCTTCTTAGGTTGCTACTCTAGTAGTATCATTCAGCATGTCCCCCCAGTCAGGGTCATTGGAAGAAGTAAGATTGTTGACCTTTAAGATACTTTATGTAAAATAAAATATGTTAACACTCAAAATGAATTTTAAATTATGCCATGATATGGGAAGTCCTTCCTTATTTTGGTAATTACCATGAAATTGAGCTCTGCTTCATCAAAATATTCTGTTCATAATGTATTTGGGGTTTTTATGTTGGTAAATTTTCACAGTGTCTTATAATTCCAATTATGTAGTTTGTGATGACAGTGAATATTAGAATTGTACATAATTAGTGTAGTTAGAATGATGACACCTGTGTTATTTTTAAAACAACAATTATGAAAACAAACCTAAAGGAGATTTACTACCATGAGCAAGGAAGTATATTAGAGTCCATAGAAACAAACTCCTTAATAAACATATAAAGTAATTTTTTGAAAGAATGCAAGTTTTACTTTTGAATTGACTGAAATATTTTATAAGGATATTTTAATAGTCAAACTATATTATTTCAAATAAATTCAAGGAAAACTATGTTTCTAATATATTGTCTCTATTTAAGATTTTTGTACTAACGAGAAGTAAGATTTTTATCATTAGAGATACTATTCCACTTGTTAAATAAAAATGTATATACATGCTTTGTATTGTTTAATTCTTGATGGACTTTTAATGACTTTTAAAAATAATATTTTTATCTAATGTTATTGAATTGAAAAGTTTTTTGCAGTATTTTATGTAGAATCAATGTAGTATCTGTCTTTTTTAAAATACATATATATATACACATATATATATCTCCATTCCATTTTACTTATTTACTGCCAGGTATACAACTCTGTCATACAGAGCCCCTGAAATGATCAACCTTTACGGAGGAAAAACAATCACCACCAAGGCTGATATCTGGGTAAGGCCAAGAAAGGTTAACATTTTCCCTAACCAAATTTAAACAAATGAGTTGACTTGACTATTTGCCCACTGCCCCCCAAATGGTGTTTCCTAATAAGTAGAAGAGTGGTGTACGTAGAGCTACTTATTCAGGAGATGAAAAATACTAGAATATTTTATCTTCTTAATCCTGGGATGGAAAGCTTAGGTATAAAAAAGCAAATAAAAGACTTCTATATAATAAAACTTTTTGCCATGATAATTTTAAGAGTTTAAATTATATATGTGTTAACATTTTTTGATTGAGTGGAATTTTTTTTTTTTTAGATTTTATTTATTTTTAGAGAAGGAAGGGAAGGAGATAGAGAAACATCAGTGTGTGGTTGCTGGGGGTCATGGCCTGCAACCCAGGCATGTACCCTGACTGGGAATCGAACCTGCGATGTTTTGGTTCACAGCCCGTGCTCAATCCACAGAGCTACGCCAGCCAGGGCTGATTGAGTGGAATTTTGATTGCTCACTTTATGAAAATGCTGGGCATAGCTCTTAAGTAATTACACTTACAATTGTCTGGAGTATTTTAGGAAATTAACATGAGTAAAACTTTTTTTCTAATTATAAACATGTCAACTAACATATATTGAGGTGTTTTATTATATAGCATTTATATGTGGATTGAATTATTAAGATAGATAATATTTCTATATAATTAAACTTTGTTAGAATGTCAGTACCTCTTTAGAACTCATTTCATAAGTAAGCTATGTTTTGGCTATATTTAATAAACTAGCTGGAAAGTACTTTAATGTAAATTCATTTAAATTCAGCTAGTATTTAGCTATATGAGGGGGACCCAAAAAACCCAGAATTATCTTCTGGAGGGTGGGCCCTCTGTAGTACAGCCTACCCCCACTAAGTGAGTATTCTAATAACCCATCTGTATTAGTATACCAGCTGGCATTGTTGTGAGGGGCTGCATTTGGCTTCAGTGAATTTGTTTTGAAGACTCTTTCATTGCATTTGCCCATTTCATGATGGGCGATTTACGAGCACACCTGCCCACACTATGCTGAGTGTTCAGCAGGTTTGACCAAAAACGGCGTGACTCCTGTGCCCCACCCTTCCTATTCTCCCCGTCTTGCTCCAAGCAATTTTTTTTTTCCCTGATGGAGAAAGTCCTCAAAGGGAAATGTTTTGCCAGTATCGAAGAGTTGAAACAAAAAACAGTAGAAGCACTAAAAGGCATCAAAATCCATGAGTTCAAAAACTGTTCTGAGCAGGGGAAAAACATCTAATAGGTGTATTACATCAAATGGAGGTGACTGAGGTTTAAACATGTAAGAAGAAATACACAATTTTTTATAAATCAATTCCAGTTTTTTTGGGATCCCTCCTTGTATCTACCACTAGTAAGTATATTAGGGATGGTGAAAAAAAATTCCTTTGAAAATAGTTGTAGAGTTTACAAGAAAATTCATGTTTATTTTGTTTTTAAAATGTAATATTCAGAAAGTACTCAAATGTAATATGTGAAACCAAATGAGTATCTCTTCGGTTTTCTTCTCCTGGCCTCTTCCTATTGGGGTTGGGATATCCAGATATTCTTGCAAGGTAATAAAAAGACAAAATATCTTCAGCATCTTTTTATCTGCCTGCATAATATATATTTTTTCACCAAACAGTGGTTCTTAAATCTTGTCGTAGTTGAATTTTTAACCATATACATAATTGATTCAACCTGTGAACAAGTTTGGTTTAACTTGATGCTGTGTGGAGATCACCAGTTCGTATAACTCAAATTCAGTTTGCTTTTCTCACATTAGCATTTGACTCATTGAATGGCTTATAGTATAAGGTAGAAAGCAAATTCAGTTGGATCTTTTAAAAAAATTTATTGATGAGAGAGAAAGAAAGAGGCATGGGGGAGGCAGACATTGATTTGTTCTACTTATTTATGAATTCATTTATTCTTGTTTGTGCCCTGACTGGAGGTTGAACTCACAACCTAGAGGGGCATATTGGGACGACACTCTAATCAGGAGAGTGACCTGGCCAGGATCTCAATTGGATCTTAATTAATAAAATGAAAATACTAGAGGAAGTGATTGTGAAAGTTTTTCTGGCCTAATTTTGTGACTGCTGTTGAAATCTGTATTACCTAAAAGAGTATTTCAACAGCAGAAGAAACAACAGACATCATAGCTCAACTACTGTTTTGAAATCATCAAGGGTTGATTTTAAAAAAAGTTACTCTTTTTTTCCCAACTGTATATTAACAAAATGGAGAGGGAATCTTTTTTTTGTTTTTGTTCATTTTCAACTAGACAGTGTGTGTGTCAGGCTGCATAGTATGTTTTCAGTGAAAAGTTTAAAATTTATACCATCTGTAGATTAGTATATGAGGTAGTAATTTTATAACCACTAATTGGGTATAGTTTTGAGGTTATAGCTACTCAAAGATAAAGATAAAAAATAAGCAAGACAGATAATCGGAAAACAGAATCTATGTGTATGTGCTTGACAGAGATAGAAGTTCAATTTGCATGATGTCATCTTCTTGCTTGTCTTAGCTCAGGTGGAACAGAAGTATGCTACAGCATTGTGGGTGAGACAGGCATCATGTTACCTTTTAATGAGGAAAATGGAGGTTGGTGGTAGGCCTCCAAAATCAGGTCATTCGTTCCCTCTTGTTTTTGAACAATTCTTGTTATATCAAGTGGATAAACAGGGAAATAATGCCTTCGGTGTGAAAAAATTAGGACACCTATTTGTGTTCATACTATGTGAAGTAGAGTATTTTAGATTTATGTTTTTTAAGTACATTGCTGTCTAAAATTGTCATCTGGGAACTCCCAAAATATTTACTGTAACACAAGACACTACTAAAGGTTTGACTGACAAGATAAAACTGGCTAAAATGCAGACCTCTTTTGCCTAAACTATCATCTGAGTAGGAGAAAGTGTAATTTAATGCAGATGATACACTATTAATAGTATTTTTTTTACTGTTGTCAAGGGAGCCTTATGCTCAGTTCATAGCATACATGCTGAAATTTATAGAAAAAAGCATCATAAATTGTTTTAAGCCAAATTGAACTGGTTATTTTTATTCAGAATCTTCACAGTTTATTAATCATAATAAATAACCCACCCTGTAATGTCTGTGAATGGATATATTGAAATTTCTAGAGCCTTTAAATTTTTCATTAGAAAACTGTTAAAATATTGAAACTTATGTTTAGTAAATTAATAATATTGAACTCACACAGGTGTTTCTGTATATTGTGATCTTTACAGTAGTTGTAAAACTTAAGAGTATTTGTTAGTTGCATTTGCTAAGTTGATACATGGAGAAAATTCAACAAAGGAAAGATGACCTGCTGATTTTTAGGCAAAATTTAGTATTGTTGATATAATTGTTTACTAACTATATAATTTTATACAACCTGTTTAGAATTAGAAGTACTCCTTCCTTACACCGTTAAGGCTTATAGATGACACTTTTTGTGACAACATAATGATTTCTTGACCTGAAAATTACATTTTATTGCTAGCTCTCTGGTTTAAGCTTGAGCTCTTAGTGGCTTAGCTAGACATTTGTTTCTTAGGCAGTTTAGTCTTTGTTGTCAGCAACTATATTTATTGGTGCTATGATATCTATTAAGCTATGCAAGTGAAGCAGACAGAGCCTATCCTTTTTGAATTTTAATATAGATTACCCAGGTAATAATATGATTAGTAAATTATAAAATAAGAATCATAGGGTTATATACAAAAATAGAGACTTAGCACTCTTTTATAGTATGAAATAAATACTGACATGTGCTTAGTGAATTACTGATAAAAATGTATTGATGGTAGTCTGGTAAATTTAACTGTGCTGGCTAACTCTCATATTTGGATCCCAGGATTTTAAAACATGTTATATAGTAAATTTATTTAAAATGCTTCTAGAAGGAGCCTGGTGTTTACTTTGTTAGTTTTATGCTAGTTATGTACTAAATATATCTTTTCCTTGTGGAAGAAATGAGAGTATAATTTTTTTCCTAAAAGGGACCAGCCACTTCTAGTTTGTTAGATCATTTGTGATCTAGAGTTCTGTGATAGCATTAATTTAGCCAGCTGGCTGCAGATGTGATAGAAAAATATGGAGATGATACACTTAGATGTCTTCTCAAATATTAAGCACATTAAGCAAATGATTTATGAAAAGATTGATTTTGTGTAGAAACTTTTTTAAATAACAAATTTAGTTTTTGGGTTAGTGCTATTTTTATGTCTTGTGGTTAAGTTGATTGCTTGAGTGCTGATGATATTTATGTTTCTTTATTTTACAGGCACTGGGATGTTTACTGTATAAACTTTGTTTCTTCACTCTTCCCTTTGGTGAGAGTCAGGTTGCCATCTGTGATGGCAGCTTCACCATCCCAGACAATTCTCGTTACTCCCATAACATACATTGCTTAATAAGTAAGTACTTGGAAAAATTACAGACAGAATTGTAAGATACTGTACATAGGGTCTGCTTTTACATCCCTTTGCCTAAATCTAGTTTGATTTCATTTATTATACTTTTATGAAATTAGAGTAAAGAAAAACATTAAAAAAGATGTTCATAGACTTTTATGGAGTGAAATCAACCTAATTACCAGTACATTAAGCCTTTAGATAAACTTCTGTAGGACACAGAGATTATTTCTGGAAAAGTTTGGCAGCATAACATTTAATTATTTGGTCTTTGTTCTTTGAAATCCAAATATCCAGGTCCGTTGCTTTTTTGGGATGAAAGTAGCACTGATCTTAATTTTCAGCTCACTTGGCCACCCTTTTTAATATTTATTCTTTATGGATTATAAAATGGTTATTAGAAGCAACCTAAGTGTATCAAAAGGTATAGTCTTATGGGCCCTTGATTTCAAAAGAATACCTCACTTTTCCTTTTAGCCTGCTTTATTATTTTTTCTTTCTTTTTGATAGGAACTGTAATTTAATTTCTTATGTGTGTACATGGTAAAATTTCTGAAAAATATGATTTGGGGTGGGAGAGGGTCATCAATATTAAAATATATTAGGAAGCTGCAGTATTTAAGCAGCACTTCTCAGCACTGTTTTAATTAAAGTGTTTTTAGCATTTCTTCATTTTATATATTTTCTGTCATAGCCTGTAACCACATAGAATAATACAAAAGAGGGTCAATGTAAATATATTTGGTATTCTGTATGATAAAGATGGCACTTCAACTCAGCAGGGAAAACTAGATGAAACTACAAAGAGTTAATAGCAAATCATAGATAAAAAAATCAGACTGGATCTCTACTTCAAACTTTATGCTACGATTTCAGGTAAATCAAAGACAAATGTAACAAAATAAAACATAAATGTATTTGAAGAAAATAGGTATAAATTTATTTTATTTATAGCACTAGAATGGGTAATGTGTAAGGGAGGTGTTAAATCTCAGGAACCAGAAACATGAAGAATTCATTAACGTATAAATTTAAACCATTAAAAATCTTCCTAAACCCATGAAATCCAGTATAAAATTAAGTGATCAAGTGGAAAAAAATTTTGTTACGCATTTGACAAATTGCTAATTTTGTGATTTATGAAACTCATGTAAATCAAAAAGAAAAGGGAAATACCCAGACGAAAAATGGTCTAAGAAAATGTAGTATAAAAGGATAGCTAGCCTCACTTTGTAAACATATAATTTAAAGTACAAAATTTTTATTTTTATAATGTGGATTTGCTCACACATGTTAGAAATTAGAGAATTATGTCAGTTGAACATAAAAATTACATTGCTTGATTTGGGATGTTTTTCCTGGGCAAGGGGAACCATAGTAATGGGGTTGGAGAAGTGATGTTATAACTTACAGGGGAAAGGAAATAGCCCTAAACTTGGCTGTGGCACTTCCAATATGAACACTTTTAGCTCTCATTGGAGAATAATAAGTATGGGTCCTTGTACCTGGAGTTTTCCTCCCAGATATTTTTTCACCTGTCTGTTTTGTGTGTCTCTCTAATAATGGTGGCCCACTGAATAAATAGCCCCTCTGGTCCAGTGTTCCACTTTTATTGATTGAGCATCTCCCAGCCTTGTTTTGATGTTTGTTTGTTTTTTAAATCCTTGTGGCAGCCTCCAGCCAAGTTAATCTACTTGCCTGGGCAGTCCAGGCTACCATCTCAGGAACCAATTAATGTTTTTGTCACTATTCTGGTGACAAAGTTGTATAGTTTTCCAGTGGTCTGTCCCCAATCTACTTTCCCCTTAGCTGTTATTTTTAGCCTGCCATTTTGCAGAATGTGAATTTTTTAAAAAGCAAACATACCATTAGAGTATATTTGAATAAGCATTAGACCCATAACCCACTCTACCATATCTAGTTGCTTTCCTCCTTCATTGTGCAAAAATTAGGGCATCAGAGCATGAAAGGGCCCTGATTAATTGGAGTTTTCAAAGAATAGATGAAGGAATTTATTTTGGCTGTTGGCATGTTTTGGCTTTTTATTGAAGCTCTTGCTGTAAGTCATTGTAACTGTTTTGTGGCTTAGTATAATGTTTTAAGCACAATCGAACTGAGGATTTTATTGGGGATCTTGCAATGTCTTAGGAACTTTGAATATTCTCATTGGACAATACTGTATGGGGGACTGGATAATACATACCCTGATTTGTGATTTAATTTGCTTACAGTAGTAAGATCTTACTTTCTCATATTGGTTTTATTTTTTTTTCCTTCTCTGTATGTATGTGGGTATGACTATGTGCTTATAATGGCAAGGTTGAAAAGTAAACATTCTTAATAATTTTAGGATTTAATTGGGTTCTAGTTAATTGATGCTTTATTGTGCAACATATACTTCTTTTGCTAATAAATATATAGATTTTAGTTTTTATCAGTATTTGTATAAATTTGACCATGTATTAGTGATTTTGAACTTAATTTCAGAGCTAGGCAGAAATTTTGAAAAGATCGAATGATATAAGAGTATTCAAGTAAATGTTGGTATTTTATCTCCTGTCAAAGGATTTTTATGGACTTTACTTTTTAAATATTGTCTTGGGTAGTAAAAGCTTGATAGGGTACAGATTTTAAAAACCAGGACATACTTATCTCTAATGTGATGTTTTTAGAAAACATTTAGACTCTTTGCAATTTTATTTTTTACTTTTTTCACATGTGTCAATTTCCTACCAGTTAGGTTTCTTTGTCTGCTTTTGTGATATGTAGTTAATTTATATTTCTTCCAAACAAATCCTACATTCAGAAAACCAGGGAGTGCCTAGCTGTGCTCATAGTTTTTGAAAGTGTGACTTTTTATTGCCAGTTGTCTGTCTGTGTAGTGTAGTCCATCCCATATATTATTATACGATAAAGCATTAAAAACATACTTCTTTTTAGTATTGATAGAATTACTAATTCTGCTTTTTAGGATATTTGCAAATGATATAGGTATGCCTAATCTTTTTAAAAACTGGTTTGTGGTTACATAAATATTTGAACAGACTTTTGATTATCACTATTTGGTCAAGCATAATTATTATTACCTATTGCCCATAAAGCTCTGTTTAACAATTTTATTATATCTTTCCACAGAATTTTCTTCTTTAAAAGTAGCGGAGTCAATTATTTACAAGTTTTTTTCCCTTAGTTTCTGTTAACTTTCAATGGACAAGTAATGGAGGTGGATCGGGGATGAAGAGAGAAGCACTTTTTATTTATGGATCTAAGAGTTATAAGGAACTTAGACAACATTTAGAGGAGAGTGAGAAGCAGAACTAACAGAATTACTGAATAATTCATGATGAGCAAACAGAAGGCTGGCTGCCACACCTTTTTTTAGTTGCTACCAAGGCAAGGTTAGGGAAGTACATGGTGGAGATGAAGAGTAAGAGCCAAAAGGCCTGGGCTTGCATCCTCTGCCCCTGGTTTAGTATACAATATTGGGCACCTCTGTTTATCGCAGTCTCATTCCTAAAATGAGCATATTAAAAGTACTTACCTCTTAGGGTTATTTTGAAAATTGAGTTATAAAAAGTGTAGAAATGTGTAAGTACTCAGTAAGAGATGGCCTTAATACTTAACATCATTACTACTGTGATAACTACCACTACCAGTACTACTTAAATCTATTGTAGTTCTTCCTGAGCTAATCTAATTTCTAATTTTCTGGGTAAGGATTAGGCATCTGCTGTCAGATATTCAGTAGAATGTACTTTCCAGCAGGGATTCCTTTGGATGCTTTGAAGCAGAACTTGGTTTTGCAGGTTAATGGTGGATCTACCAAAGGCTTACCATAAATTGTCATATATTCCAGAATATACTGTTAGATGTAACTAATTTCTTTTCTCACCTCTTACTTTGTGCAGTAATGTGGTGAATCATAATGAACAGCATTCATTATGTTTTTTATTGCTTTTGGGTCTGCTAACTTATTGTTGCTTTATGGTTCTATATCTTAGTTTTTAGCAACTTATCTCTTGGGTTTAAATATTTTTAAATTGAAATATAATTCACATATAATGTATTAGTTCCAGGTATACAGCATAATGACTTGATCTATGTATATATTGTGAGGTGATCTCCACGGTGTGTCTAGTTAACATCCATCACTTCACGTAGTTACACATTTTTTTCCCCTTGTTCTGAGACCTATTAAGATCTCTCTTGTCAACTTTCAGATGTATAATACAGTGTTGTTAACTACAGTCACCAAGCTGTACATTTTATCTCCAGGACTTACTTATAACTAGAAGTTGGTACCCTCACCCATATCACCCACACCCCAAACTCCACCTCTGGCAGCCTCCAGTCCGTTCTCTTTACTTCCGTGAGTTTTATTATTCTTTTTCAAAGATCTCACATATAAGTGAGATTGTACCGTATTTGTCTTTTTCCTGACTTCTTTTACTTAGTTAGCATAATGCCTTCAAGTCCATCCATGGTGTCTCAACTGGCAAGATTTTCTTCCTTTTCATGGCTGAATACCATTCCTGTGTATGTGTCTGTGTGTGTGTCTAACATTTTCTTAGTGCACTTGTCCATTGAAGGACACTGAGGTTGCCTCCATATCTTGGCTATTGTAAGTGATGCTGCAGTGCATGTGGGGGTGCAGATAGCTTTTCCAGTTAGTGTTTCTGGTTCCTTCCATTGTACACAGAGAAGTAGAACTGAAGGATTACATGGTAGTTCTGTTTTTAATTTTTTTGAGGGGACTTCATACTGTTTTTGAATTTATGTTTCCCGTGCTAATTTACATTTCCACCAACCATGTACAAAGGGTTCTCTTTTTTCCACATCTCAACAACACATCTTTTTTATTATAAATACATTTATTGAATAATTATTTTCTGTGGGAAACCAGGAACTTGCTTGCTTGTTTTAATATACTTAACATTTATTATGGAAATTTAGAAAAGTATAGGCAGAACAGTACAGTGAATTATCATGTACCTGTTTCACAACTTAGGTGGTTATCTACTTGTGACTAATCTTGTTTTATGTATGCCCTCACCCACTCTTTTTCCCTATTTTTTTTTTTTGAAAAATGTCAGAAATTTTAATGTATCTTTGGAAAGAAAGAAAAAATCAAGATAGGATTTCCTTGGAGGTTTTCAGTTAGTGGCTCTGGATTACTACTTGAGGAGATGTAGAGAGAAGGCTCCGATCAATAACTTAGAGACAGCTGTCAGAACTATCCCACACATACTATTTTAACATGTTGGTAGTGCCATTCAGTGTTTTAGTTATGACTGAACACATTTATTATGGCTGTTAAGTTAGGTTTCTTTTCAGTAGTCCATGGAATAAGGTATGTAGGATACATAAACCTAACCTAAGTTTATATAATGATCTCCATAGATTAATAGGTAAAAATAACAAGTGAATGCTTGATGTATTTTTGGTTGCAAAATTGAAATGGGTGTTTGTCTTTTCAGGTAAATTAATATAAGTAGAATTCTGTGGCAAAGAAAAAGACCTTTTTGGAAGGAAAAAAAATAAATTTTAAGCAGGGCCATTCTTTTAACACTTGTATCAAAAGCATTTTCCTATTAAATTTGCTGAGCTATTACATTACAGAGGCTGATATAACTTTCCTTAGGCCCATGCATGGAGCCGTTGTTTTGTATAACTTGACTGGGAACTCCTTTATTTAATATGTGGCTTGAATCCTTGATTAAACCATGATTTAGCTTGGCCACTGCTATAGTACTGGCAGTTCTGATAGCTTCTCTTTTTGATGGAATATGCGTGGATGTTGTACTTATCCTGTGCAAAATTAATACGAACATAATTAATTCAGCTGCCTCAGTTGTTTTTAAGTGTTTTTTTTTTATCAGATATGTCTTATACATCAGTTGAAAATATTGTGTTGGTTTAATCATACACTGCCTTTAATGCTGAGACTACTTAGTGTTCTCAGGTTATGTAAATGGAGTTTGTCTCAATAGAAAGATTTACTTAAGAGAAGCACATACCTTTTTAAAAGTCAATTTTGTATTTGCAGGGACAGCAGGAATGTTCTCAGGATGATTTACATGATTATTTTATTTTCTGTTTTATTTTATTTATTTATTTTTAGGGAGGGAGAAAGAGAGGGAGAGAAACATCAGTGTGTGGTTGCCTCTTATGTGGCCCCCACTGGGGACCTGGCCTGCAACCCAGGCATGTGCCCTAGATGGGAATCAAACCTGCAGCCCTACTAAAACCAAAGTTCACAGCCCGTGCTCAATCCACTGAGCCACACCAGCCAGGTCTTGATAATTTTAAATTCAGTAAACAAGAGTGTGTTCTTGCTTCTCTTCCTTTTTTTTTTTCTTTTTTGAACTTAATCTCTTAGGTGAGCTGGACACATGCATTTTTAAATTTATTCTTCCCCTCAAGAGCATATTTTTGTAGATGGTACAGTTTTATTGTCACGAAGTGGGAGTTGATACAAATACTAAAATCAAGGTTTAATTATTGTGAGAGAAGATGGCTTTGGACCAATTACTTAAAATTAAACTGAAGTTGTCGTTCTTAGTTGATATGCCTCAGTATTTAGCTGGAGTAGAGCTGATCTGTGAACAAAAACAAAACTGTAGGATTGCCTGATGAATCATTTTATTTCTCTCTAGATACTTTGCACTTCACATTAGATCATTCATTAGTCTAAAAGTTTAACTTGTAACTCATTCTTTTGGACAGTTTGGGAAATTATTTAAATTAAATGCTTCATGATGCCGTTTTTTTCTTTTTAAGTGGCTGCTAATATCCAGTATAAAAATATTCAGAGAGAAAAATATAGACATTTTCTACCTGTGAGTTTCAGTCTCTTTATACTTTGATTTTAGAACCAAACTAGAGATGGGTTACAGGAACTCATTAGATAAAACTGTCAACAGTAGTAGATGAAGTAGATTGCAGAATGAATGAAATTTAGACCCGCTGCCAGCGAGCCCGTTCCTTGCATTCAGCCCTCAGATTTACTCACACCCAGTTGTAGACAGTGCTGGATAACCTTAGACCTCTTCCATAGAAGTGGGCCACTTGCAAAACATGGTTTTACATAGAACATACATGTCCTAAAAGTAAACTGTTATGAAAGTAAGAGTAGCAGAGATGGGCATTTGTGGGTGCCTTTTCTTTCTACTTGAACAAACAAATCACTCCCTTTCCCTTGGAGAGGAATGACATATAGAGAGAGGTCACTAGCACAGTGGTCTTCACACTGTTTGGCTGTGATCCACAATAATTAAATAGGTTTTAGTTATGACCTAGAACACATGCACACACACGTGTGTGAAAAAAGCTTTATAACTATTGCTTATACCTACCACATTAGTGCACACTAATATTTTCCCATTCTGTTAAAATAAATTCTAGTCATTAATTATGTCATATAAATGGGATTGTTACAGTTAGACAAACGAAACTGGCTCTCACAGTATTTCCACACAGAAGCATGAGCCAGGGAGTTAGGGGTCCTTTTGTTTACTTATAAGATGATACCCCTTTTCCCCACAGCCTAGCTACCTGATTGTTAGCAGATGTTGTCCTATGCTGAACTTGAGAGAATTACTTACACAAATCTTGGTTAGAGAACATAAAGGTCAAATTTATTTTCCTTCAGTGCTTCTCATCTACTGTGACAGAAAGAAAATAGATACAGGAGTGCCTAATGTATCATTTTATTTTCCTCCAGATATTTAAAAAGCTTTTTCTAGATAAAGTTGGGCCAGAGAAGTATATTTGAGTACTGTACTGTTCTCTACATGCATAGAATTTCTTCGCCCTAATTGTACTTAGGTGTTATGTCACTGGTCCACACAGGCGTGTGTAAGACATTACCCATTGCCACTCACTGCAGTTCTTTAAGGATTGTGATCACTCAGTTCGAAACATCTTTAGATAGACTCAAAGGAGAATTTACTTTTGGCTTTTGGTATCAGCAGTGGTGCTTTTTCCTAGCACCTGGTTTATTTTTGTGTTAAGGACACTGTGATTCATGTTGATTCATGTAATGGATCATGTTGCCCTATTTGTGTTGACAGCTAGAAGGTAGAGAACTAAATTTGTGGCCTGTATTTATAAGACCAAATCATATGCAATTTATTTACTGGCATCATCCTAGCATTTTGGGGGGGAGCACAGGGAAGAGTCTCTCAGGGAAGGGGCTACTTTTCTGTTAGTCCTAATGTTCTCATACATTTAAAAAATCTTATAGTTTATATGCATTTCAAGCCATTTATAGGAATAAATATTTATAATTAGTTACTCTTGAAATTTGATTTTGAAAGCCAAATAAACTGAATTCTTAGAAAAATAGAATATTAAGTTTGTGAATTTGAGAAGTTTCTTGTGATTTGTTTAAAAAAATTATTTGGATAAATGTTTATTGTTAAAAGTTTAAGTTTATCCCTATGTTATGGACTATTGTTACTTTAAAAACATTTTATATCTGTTGGTGTCAAGATAAAATATGATTTTGGAGGATAAAAGAAACTTTGTGGATTCTTTAAATCTTTTCTCGGATGAGGTTGAATATAATCTGATCAATATTAGAATTCCATATTTTTAATTATTACCATCTAACTGTTGATAAAATAATAAAAAATCAGTTTTATAAGTTATACATGTTAGCCTTTTTCAGTACATCAAATCAGGTTATGTGCAGAATATTTGAAAAACTGAGTTTATAATTTCACAAATTTCTGCTAAGTTTGTGCTTTCACTTGCCAAACAACTGTTTTTAACCAAAATAAGTTTATCAAGTTGTGGGAGATGTATTAAAAATTGTTTAAAAATTACTTAAATTTGAAAGAAAGATTGAATTAATTTTGATTTATAATTTTAATTTAGCCATTTATATACTTTGATCTCTGTATATAATTTTACTAGCAAATTTCAGAATGTTATCCAATTAATGCTGTAAATCATACATTCTGTATTGGTTTAATAATGATTTTTGAATGTTATAAAAACTTGAATTAATCAATGAATCAGAGTTAGAACATGGAGAGCTTTAACAAAATATGAGTTTTTCAGTGAGTATAAATGTCAACTTTTTTGTGAAATTGTAAATTTAACAAGTCACCCAAGAAACGGACAAATAGTGTTGGTCATTTTGGTTAGAAAAAGGTCAGACATTTCAAGCAGTGCTGTAGGTTGGTGTGAAGTCTGTTCATAATAGAGCCATGAAACTCAGCTAATACTTCTGAACAGGATATGTGTAACACGTTGAAATATTGAACTGTGGTGAACACTCATAGCATCAGTATGGGAAGAAAGCACAATTTTGGAAAACTGTATTGTCAATCCTGCACTACTTTGTTAGATTACCATGCACACAATTTAGTATTTTCTCAGTGGTTGAGGATTACTTAAAAATTAGTAGATGTATTTTGGATAATAGTGAAATTAAGGACTTCTGCTATGGCCCTAGAACTTTCATGAATAATTCCCCATTGTTCACTAAATTCAGTTTTTGTTTTGTTTCACTTTCTCAGAAGAATATATTTGTTAATAATACTTGTGGTACAGAGTTGTGACTGATTTGTTTTTAGCTTGGGATAATGTTTTAAGTTCATGTATCGGTAACAATTTTTATATTTTCTATTAACAAAATTTGATCGAATCATCACTGACCTTAGAATGGAAAAAGTATTTATGTATACACATATACATTATCCTTTTAATGTGCCACTATATAGCTTCTGTGTTCAGTGAACTTCTCTACATTTTAATCTGTTCTTGCAGGGTTTATGCTTGAACCAGATCCAGACCGTAGACCTGATATATTTCAAGTGTCCTATTTCGCATTTAAATTTGCCAAAAAGGACTGTCCAGTCTCCAATATCAATGTAAGTAACCTTTTTCAGTGGGATACGAATTTTTAAAAGATTTTATCTGTTATCTATCTATTTATCTATCTATCTGGGAAGGAAGGGAGAAAGAGGAAGAGAAACATCGATATGCGAGGGAAATATCAGTCACCTCCCACACTGCCCCAACTGGGGACCGGGCCTGCAACCCAGGAATGTGCCCTGGCTGGAAACTGAACTGGTGATGTTTCACTTTGTGAGACAATGCCCAACCAAATGAGCCTTGCCAGCCAGGGCTTATTAAGTCGGATATGAATTTAAAATCCATTTTATTACATGTAGCTATTTATGTGTGTGTGCATGTGTACACCCACTTTCAGAGTTATTTGTTTCATGACAAGTAGCCTAATAGTGTGTTTGTGATTAGTATTTTCAGTATAAAGCCACAGTTGCTAAATTGTGTACTGTAGTGCTCTAGGAAGCCATAATAGATGTGGGGGCACTGCATGATATTTTGCATTTTTTGAGAGAAATATCTGTCTGACATAGCACAAATAACAATTACTAAGTTGTTTGGGCCAATCTATTAAAAAACATAGTATAAGATTTATTTGGGGGGTGAACTAGGGGTATCGTGAAAAAATTCTGAGACACTAAATGCTCTGTACACTGGAAAAGTTTGGTTACCTTTGTTGTAAAGAGCATAGGTATTGTAAGTGGAGAGACCTGTCTTCATCAGTGATTAGTTTTGTATGCAGTCATCTCTCAGCATCCACAGGGGATTGGTTCCAGGAATCCCGTGGGTACTGAGATCTGCAGATGCTCAAGTCACTTACATAGAATGGCATAGTATTTGCATGTAACTACACATTTTCTCGTGTACTTAAATCATCTCTAGGTTACATATAATACCTAATGTAAATAGTTACTATATTGTATTAAATAGGAAATGATGACATGAAAAAAATGGCTGTACCTGTCAGTAGAGATGCAGCCATCGTAGGCCTAACTACATAGTTCACGTCAGCAGCAACATGATATTGTTGTTTGAGTAGTAGTGCTTTTTTAAATCCTCACCTGAGGACATACTCATTGATTTAGAGAAAGGGTAAGGGAGATATGGTAGAGAGAGGGAGAGAGAGAAGTATCAATCTGTAGCCTCTTGTATGCATCCCAGCCAGGGACTGAACCCTCACCGCAGACACGTGCCCCAACCGGCAGTTGAGCCCATGACATTTAGGTGTACAAGATGAAGCTCCAGCCACTTGACCCACACTGGCCAGGGTAGTATTTTTGATCTGAGCTTTGTTGAATCTGTGGATGCTGGACTCATGGATATGGAGGGCCAACTGTATTTTGAGAATTTCTGTTCTTTTTGTGTAAAACAGAGATAGGAATTATGAGGACTACAAATAAGAAATGAAAACCCAGTGCCTAGTCCATTAAAGGTGCTGAGTTAGTAATAGCTAACATCGTTGACAGGCTTTGAATTATATCCTGTGTCTGCACACTGTACTTAACTACATCAGATTAACTGTGTATGGCAGGTCTGTGCTAATTTTAATAAAAGTCCAGAATCATCACTGATTCTAAGCCCTTCTCAGCTTTCTGAAGATCATTCTGGCCTCATTTGTTCCTGTCAGTTTCCCTTTCTGTATTACTTAACAAACTCCGCTATGAAAAAAGAAGGAAGTTGATACCTTTCCATTTTGTTTGTTGAACTCTTTACTATGTCAGATATTCTTTGTTGAGGCTGAAAGTCATACAGTTTAATATTCTAGTGATAAAAATAGCTTTGACATTAGACTATAGATTTATAGCTTTTCATTCAGCAAACATTTGAGTCCCTTGAAGCCAAACATTATGTAGAACATAAACAAATTAGGAAAACCTTTGTTCTTGTTTTTTAGATTTTACGTGCAGTGTCAGGAAATTTCTGCAGTATGCAGAAACAACACTTGACCCATATGCTTGGTGTTTGCTTTTTTCCCTAAAATGTGAAATAGTCATTGATTTACGAGTATAATTTAATCTTTCTTTTTAGCCAAAATTTGCCTATTTGTTAAGTGAATACAATATTGTTCTGTTTATTTTTGAAGGATTTCTCTGGCACATGAATATGGAAGTGATGTTTATGTAGCATGTGGCGATGTTTGCAGATTAGATCTGACAAGTATATGTGAGCAATTTATAGGTGTCTGAGGTGAAAGTAATAGCATCTCACAGACAGTAATTTTTAAAATTAGAACATATCCATAACCTTTAAATAATGTGTTCTGCAATTAAAAGAAAAGCTAAAATGAAGTTTTATTTTTTCCCAGAATTCTCCTATTCCTTCAACTCTTCCTGAACCCATGACTGCTAGTGAAGCAGCTTCTAGGAAAAGCCAAATAAAAGCCAGGTAGGCAAAGCGATGCTGAAATTTGAAAAGGTTTTTTAAAAAATAAGAGATCCTGTTTTTAATCCTAGCAAATGTAATTAAATATCACCTACATGCACAAAAAATGTTGTTCGTTATTGTACGTGGTGTAGAGTTTAGATAGCAAGTATAAAATAAGCTCTTTTGTATTAGAGACAGGATTTGACATCACTCTCACTTGAACTGTTTCCTCTCAGCAATCGAGAAGTGATGATGTAACTGGTAATGTTATAATGCATTGGGTCATTTGGGGGTGGGTTGTCATTATTTATCACATGTCAACTCTAATTTATGAACTGTTACATTTTTAGTTTACAGCTAGTATGATTGTTTATTTAAGGAAAGGAAATATAGCTCTTATAGGCTACTTTTTTAGAGTATTATACATTTATAAACTGTTTTATGTGTTCTAATATGCATTTAAATATGTATTACTATGTATAATTTTATAATGAATGGTTTTAATGATAATAATTTTCAGACTGGTAAAAATACAATGTTTTAAATCATTTTTCAGTTTTTACTGTTAGTAAGTTTGGCACATTATGTAGTTTAAGACCTGAATCTGAGTAACTATTGAGTTAATGATTAAACTTTTTTTCCTTATACTTATTTTGAGTGTAAAAGTTAATGAGCATGCCTGTATTTTAGATTATCATATTATATACTATGATATATAGTATCAGGTATAATATTACATTTGAGGAGATTTCTTGGTCATAGCTTTTTTGAATTGTATTTTACCTATGCAAAGTATTTTATTTGACATAAAATGTATTTGTCATGCACCTGCTATATGCAACATACAGATAGTGGAAATGCCTAGAAAAAGGAACATTATTTATTCCCAAGGAGTTCACATTTTAATGAAGACATACACACAAGTAAACAATTCTAACCTGACAGATACCAGGCAACTCTGAGAGTGGAGGAAGGGAAAGAGGGGAGCAAACAGGAGCTCAGAAAGAACCCAATCCTTTCCCTGGGGCAGGGTTAGGGGATTACTGAGTTGTTGCTTGAAAGATGAATGATGTAATCTGTCACCTGGATGATAGGGAGGGAAACTGTGACAGACAGGCCCTTCGGGCAAGAATGGCCTCTGTGAGCCAGCAAGCCTGGAGCATAGGGGACACATTGCGGGGTGGCGGGAACTGAAGTTGAAGAGTTAGGTAAATGCCAATCAGGAGCAAGTTTGTATGTTAATGCTGAGAAATTTGGCCTTTGGCGTTTAGGCCAGTGAATTTTCAACATTACAGTCAGTTCTGTTTGGGACTTGGTGGTGATGTGTTACAAGTAATGTATTATTTATAAATTGTTAAAATGTCATTTGGGAATAACTTAGTTTTTAAAAAATATGGCATGACTCTAAAATACTGTCTTCATTCATTTGAATTTTAAAATACTCTTGAAGAAGAGACGGAAGAGTACAGTTACGTCTGACTTTGCAGGAACCTGTCCTGACTGGCAGTGTGTCCTACCTATCTATAACACAGCTGTGGTTAGCAGCTGCTGTTACATTTGAGTGGAATTATGAGTCGTCGTAGAGTTGTTAGTTGAATTTTATTGTTATTTGTGTTTTTTAATAATTATTTTGTTTATGACTAGATCTTTAAGAAGGTAGATGCACTACAAAAGTGTCAACTGGATAAGAATGCTCTGTCTTCATTATGACATGAGTTATAGCTGTACAATTATAAGCAAACAGTTAACACAGCTAAATTCACAATGCTATTCAGAGTGTGTTAAAGCTATACATTGTATTAAAAATAAGATTCATTTTTGCTTTTTGGTCAGTAATATAAATTTATACTGATAGTTTCAGAACTTGAAAAAATATAAATGGCTAAAAACAATAAAAAAGTTAGCCTTTTCTTTATATTTCTGGGAGTGAGGTGTGGTGAAATCTTTAAATAGATTATTATTTACATGTTTTAAAGCTTTTATGAGTATTATGCATCTTCTCGCCTGGCCTTTACTCTGTGGCACTCAGCTTTACTCCTCAAAAGCGCTTTCCATCCCTAAATATCTGCATTTTTCCTTCGGATTGTTGGGCATGTGAAACTTATGTGACATCTTTAAGATGGGAAAGCTGAGAATCTCTGTCCTGGCAGTGGAAACGATTGAAGGATTTTAAGTGGAGAGAGCAACTATGTTCTAGGAAGGTTGTTCAGATGATAGAGCATGAAGGAGAAAGAGGGAAGCAGAGAAAACAGTTTTGGGTCTGTTGTAATTAATGCAGATGAAGCTGTATGGAGAGTTAACACAGTACTCAGTCTTTCATTTCAGTCATGAGTGTGTCTTCATTTTGCCTCATCTATCCAGGCATTTCTTCTCATTTCCTCACAGAATACTTTCTTTTCACTGGCTAATGAAATCATATATATGTTTTAAATGTCTAGTCCCTACTTGAAGCCTTCTCTAGTCAATTTAGGTTAAAGTTAGAATTATTCCTCTGTGCAACTCTTGACAGTACTAGTGTGGCACTGATTTTTTTTACTATTATAACTTAGTATATTTTCATGAACATGTGCGTATCTCCCTACATATATGAGGAGGGACCCCTAAAAAACTGGAATTATCTTCTGGAGGGCGGGCCCCTTGTAGTAAAGGCTTCCCCCACTAGGTGAGTGTGCTAAGAACCTACCTGTATCTGTGCACCAGCTGGCATTGTGAGAGGCGGTGTTGTTGTGAGAGGCTGTCTTTGGTGTCAGTGAATTTTCTTTTTTGGAAGACTCAATGCATTTGCCCACTTCATGTGGTGTGATTTATGAGTGCACCTGCCTACACCGCACTGAGTGTTGAGCAGTTTTTGACCAAATACGGCATGACCCCCATGTCCCACCCTGTCTGTTCACCTGATCTCTCCCTTGATGAAAAAAGTCTTCAAAGGGAAACATTTTGCTGATGTGGAAGAGGTGAAACAAAAACAGCAGAAGCACCAAAAGGCATTCAAATTGACAAGTTCAAAAATTGTTTTGAGCAGTGGAAAAACCAGCTCAATAAGGTGTATTGTATCAAATGGAGATTACTTTGAAGGTGACTGAAATGTAAAGATGTAAGAATACAAACACAATTTTTTTTTTAGAAATCCATTTTTTTAAGGTTTTATTTATTTATTTTTAGGGAGGGGAGGGAGAAAGAGAGAAACATCAATGTGCAGTTGCTGGGGGCCGTGGCCTGCAACCCATGCATGTGCCTTGACTGGGAATCGAACCTGCGATGCTTTGGTTCGCAGCCCATGCTCAATCCACTGAGCTACTCCAGCCTGGGCCATACACAATTTTTTATAAGTAAATTCTGGGGCTTTTTTGGCCCCTGCCTTTGTACTATAAATTCTTTAAAGACAGGGTATTATGCTTTGTTTGCTGGATATCGGTAATTGTGTATTAGATTGTACATTGGTAAACTAAATTAGGGAACATGAAATAAAGTCTGCAGAACTTTAGCATCTAGCTTTTCAGAGCTTTTCTGTACTTGTGTGTGCCCTGAATCTATAGATTTAAAACAGGAGCAAGGCAGGATGAGTTCTCCTATAAAGAATGGATAGATAAGCAGATTGTATACAATATTTTCTCTAAATTACTTGAGTGTAGGGATCATTGGTTTTAAGTGCCACATCCATAATTTCAACTTAATAAATATTTGATTATTATTAAATGAGATCTAGTTAGATATATATATGATCTTTTATTGCCTTTTAGTTTACTTTTTATATGACTTGTACCATCGCTATCGCACCTAAAACATAGATATTATATTTGGAAAACAGCACACATTTGGTGTATTTCTGTGATTTTCTAAAATCTTTTTAACTGCCTTTATTTTTTAGATTGTGTACAGGGCTCCCTCTTCTGGTTTATGTAAGAAATGGACCTGTGTAGTTCTCATAGCACTTCATCCAAGGCGGCCGATGTGTACTTAATAAATCATATGTATGCAAAATATTAACTGTTAAATTATTTGAAAATATCAGGGAACTTGGTAAAGAGATTTTATTGTAATCTTGTTGAAAAGTGAGCATATGATTATTAAAAATTATTTGAGTTTTTATCCTGAATTTGTGGAAAGCAAAGTTAGTAGATATGTAAGTCAAAGATTTTTCCCTTTTTTTAAAGAGAAGAGCGGATACCTGTGTTTTCTCAAATTGTATTTAGTGTCTATTGTTTTCAAAATTAAGCTTTCTACTCAACTGCCCTCATCTATGACATAAAGTAAGTCTAATTGGGAAAGTTTTATATAATCTCCATTCAGTGTTTTAAGAAAAGCAAAATTAAAGATTCAATAAGTTAAATGTGACAGGTAGCTCTACTTGTTGAAACTTTTGGCTGCTTTCTTTTTCCATGTCCTAGGGCAGAGTCTTATCTTTTGTAGGCCTGGAGTCCAAGCTGAGGAAAACCGTTACTTGTTGTTTCTTGTTTGTGTTTCTCTGACTGCTCCATTGTATCTAACACCTTATGACAAGATTGGTTTGTTTTCCCTGTTTCCTCTCCTTAAAAGCAGTCTTATCTTATATTCTTTTTCTGCCAGCTTCCATTTAGTGGCAGACTATGAATGGTTGCATACTGGTTTAAAGAAAATGGTTAGGTTTATTTTATTTTCCTGTCTTCATTAAACATTGAATTCTTGACAGTGAGACTTAGGAAGGAACCAAGAAGACTAACATGATTATAATAACAATTAAAATGTATCTGCTGAAAGATACTTACAGAACAAAGAGTAAATGAGAAATAATCCCAATATTTGGAATGAAATGTATTCTCTTGTAGAATAACAGATACTATTGGACCAACAGAAACCTCAATTGCACCAAGACAAAGACCAAAGGCCAACTCTACTACTGCCACTCCCAGTGTGCTGACCATTCAAAGTTCAGTAACACCTGTTAAAGTCCCTGTACCTGGTGAATTTGGTAACCACAGAGCAAAAGGTAATATAGCCCTTCCAACCTAACCCCCTTAATAATTAATGTAAACAAACGTTTATGGCTTAATTTCCTAGGAGTATAAATTACTGCCAAACTTACTGTTGTGAAGCAGCTAGCATAATGTCTTAAGAAACTTTCTACTGATGTCTGGTAAACTCAACTAATTGTTTTCCTAAAGCTGCAGGGAAAGGTAAGTTATTGGCATATAAAAGTAGTGTATACAAAGTTCACAATTTACTTACCCCTAGTGTTACCAACCGGTAGGGTTTGAGGTTGATGATAAAGTTTAAGAGTATGGAAGATTCTGTATTGTATTGGAAAGGAAGAAGTTAAAGCTCTAGCCTTAACTGATGCGATCACCTGCCGGCAGTGACCGTAGAATGCTGCGGATGGCTTGTTGGCATGCGAGAAAAACATACACAGAGATAACCAGGTTCTGTGGGGAAGTAGGAACGGAATGGCCACTCTCTCTAGTGGGGAGAGTGCCCCCTTCCCCCGCCAGAGAGGCTTTTTATTGGTTTCGTTTGCATAAGAATTCAGGTAAAGCCCATTACTCACTCCTAGGAAGTAAGGATCAAACAATAGGTAACAAGGAAGTCTGAGGGCCTATTTTGAGTCAGGGTCAAAGAGCTGTAAAAAACTTTAAGGGAACAAACTTATTTCTTCCTTGGACCCTTATCAGTTAATTGAGAGCATTCTAAACAAAGCAGGTTTCACAGGATTTTACATATTCTTTCTTAGGCCTGATCACCTGGGGAACCTGCCCTTTCCAGCACAGGGCGGCACCACCCTCTGTCATTGTTTCAGGTTTAGGTGGAGCAAGGGAACTAAGGCAACCAAGAGATAAGGAGATTTTCTCCCAGACGATGAGGAGTTAGGCTATGCCAAAGCCGAGGGGCGAGGGTCCATCACCTCCTTTTGCTGTAGCCCCCAAAGTCTTTCCTTGGGGGCCTCCCACATGATCATGCCTGTCTTAGGTCGTTCCCCCCTTGGGGAATCGTACCTGTCATTGGCTAACCAACCAAGCTTTGGGGGCCAGTTATAGATGAAGTAAAAGGAGCAGAATCGGTGCTCCTGTCAGGGAGATAAGCCTGTCTCCTTGGTGGCTTACGGTTCCAAGGTCATTCCCTCAGCCTTAGCCTTGGTGGGGGTTACAGCTTCTGATACCAGGCAGGGTGGTTCCCAACACTTAACAAAGTTGTGTGTCTTTACACTGATCTAGAGTCTTGGCCACATAGTCTGTCTTGGACTGTATGAACATTACAACACAGAAATTTGTTTTAATTGATTTTATATTTTCTCATAACTTCTAAGCATTATGATACAGTACAGAACTTAAATTTTTTCCCCAAGGAAATATCCCTAATATTAGAGAGTAAACTTGTTCTCTCATGAGTCTGGGGTTATGACTTGATGGTCCGTCTCAAGGAAACTCTGTTTAGCACTTTATTTCATGATAAATCTGTTTTGTGTTAATGTTAAAAGGTTCCCAAATAAAATGTTTTGTGTTAGGATACTCTCAGGGTGAAAGACCCATTTTTTGAGGCTTATTAACCTGGATCTGAGTCCTGTTTTTACCATTTTTTAGTAATATATGTTAGAAAAATGCTAATACTTCTTATAAGATTGTCGTGAGGATTAATGACTGTTTAATATAATGCCTGCCACACACATCCTTAAGAATACCTATTAACCACTGTTATTACTGTGAAGTGAAATGTATGCTCAGGGAAGATAATGGCTACATTGCCTGGTGTATTGTTGCATTCCTCTGAGGTGGTCAGGTATAGCAGACAGAGGAATAGTTCATGGAAGGGGAAAGCAGGGGAACTTGAAATCCTTTGTGTCCAGTTCCTGCTTTTCCATTTCTGAACCTCAGTGTTCTCTTTTATAAAATGGGAATAATTATGTTTCCTGTTACAAAGAGTAAATAACAAGATATGTGATATCTAGGAAAATTCTTTCATACTAAACATTCAATGTTAGTTTCTATCTCTCTTTCCCTCTTTCTTTTGTTTTTACTTCTTTAGGTTGGAGATTGTATTGCTCAATTGTGTATCAATGCCCTTTGGTCAAAGACCACTAGGAACACACTGCAGTTGAACAAATGAGTTTATTACTCACATACCATGGGAATCTGTGGGACTGTGTCAGTAAGATGATGTTTGAAAAGCCTTATTAAAGGATTTGCCCTTGTTGCAGGTAGTTTTGGGAAGGCTTTAAGGAAGGGGGACTTTGCTGTGGATGGAAGCATTCAGGAGGGTGTATAGTATCGTTAGGTATCTTAATAAATCTTACCCAGGAAGAGGGAAGCCAGGGCCTCCATTGGTGAAGAAGCAGCACTGAGTCATATTAGGCAAGATAGGGAGAGGTTTGGTCATGTCTATGGTTTGGACAACGGTCCTGATTTTGTTGGTGCTCAGACATGATCATAGAAGTCTGATGTGCTATCTATCCATTGCACCAGAGCAACCTCAGACATAATTACAAAGTGGTCTTGTTGTCCTGACCCATCATGGTCACGGAGTTACTTTGCCTGATGGTGGTGTTTTATGAAATTGTGTTCCTCTGGTGAACACCAAGACCTAGCTGGGAGTGTTAGGCCTGCTCCCCACATTAGGGCGGTGTTTCTCTTATATGCTTCCAGCCTAAGCTGGAAAAATAATACTGTTTTCTGCCATGTATACCAAAAGTAATACACAGATCTATTCTTTTAAAATATTGAGACAATACAGAAATATTCAGAGAAAAATGTAAAGGTCTCCCTTCTTTTTCTTCCCAGATTAAACTTGAAGTAGCTTAGTATACATCCAATATTTGCTATTATTAATAGTGTCAGGGTAAACGTTCTTGTAACAGATTTTTGATTTACATGCTAGAGCATTTTTCTGAGGAGATGTTGAAAAGTATACTTAATCAAAACTTGTTAGATACTGCCAAATTGCTATCCAGAAAGACTTCACAATCTACACTGCCATCAGCAGTGTGAGTGCCCTTTTGTCCTGTCCTTGTTAACACGTGACGATGTTGGTGTTTAGAAATGTTTCCCTATTGACAGCTGGAAGTTTATGTTTTAATATTCCTGATTAATAATGCTTTTTCTTATGTTTACTGGCCATTTTTTCTCTTCTGTCGATTATCTTTTGCAATTTTTATGATGGTTTTTATATTTTTTATTGCTCCGAAGGTTTTATTTTTATGTATTTTGAATATTAGCTCTTTGCCAGATATATTATAAATATTTTCTTCTAGCTTATCTTTTGTCTTTAACTTTATTTGTGAATTTACTTAATTTCCTTGAGCCTTAACTTCATCGTTTGCAAAATGGGGAGTAATGACAGGAGGATTTAATGATGTCCTTGAAAGCATTGTTTTCATGTGGACTTGATGTGATATTGTTTGGGTGTTACCTGGGGCTCTGTGGGCTTGGCTTGAGAACAAGGAGCTTTCTTCAGCTTGATGACATGAAAGAAAAGTCATAGTTTGTCAGATGAGAGGTGAGCCTCATGAGTTAGTTAATTGCATGGCAGTCATTGGTTAGTTTCACCCCCAGCCACACTGCTCTTCACTTAAGACATCAGAGTCCTAAAAGAATGTATAGCTGAGGAGCTTAACTTTTTAATACTCTTTCAACTAGAAACAAATACACTTAAAAGGTTAATGTTGGTTATGTCTGTGTGGCTCAATTATGGTTTTAATTTTCTTCCTTATATTTTTATAAATATTTTCAGGAGTAGTTAAAATGAACAAGCAGTTTCTTATAATTGGAAGAATTAGAAATAGTTATAAAGCTGTTGTCATAGAGGAGTCATACTTCAGGCCTAGAGAGGTTGGAGATACTAATATTGATGAAAAAGAACCCTTCTCTCCCTCTTTAAACTCTCCCTTTTTTTCCCATAGGATTAAAGAGTTGCATTTGAATTTATGGTAACTCATTGGAAGAGAATATGGAAATTATAGTGTATTTCTTTTTCTGGTGTTGTATGTGTCTTTTTCATTAATTTCAAAAATTTATTCACAGGATTTTTCTAGCGTAAAATTTACAAACCTTACAAGTAAATATCCGTTTATGCAACAGTGTTAATACATTCCCTACATAGGATTTACTGAGCATCTGTTATGTATAAGGTTCTTTGGGATGCTAAGAAATAAATCATTACCCTGTCCCTCTGAAGCTCTAGTTAGGAATAACCATTAAGCAATTAATATGTGCAAGGCATGAAATGTTACAAACTTAGTGGAAGTATTAGGTGAAGGAATAAGGAAGAGAGATTTGAGCTCAACTTTGAAGGATAAGAAGAATTTCATTTGGTGGAAAATAACATTGTAGATGGAGAGAATCATTTTGTCAAAGACTCGTATCAGTGCATATGATTTAGAAATACAGAACAAACTGACCTGGCTGGTTTGTTCATGGAGAGATGAAGTGTGACAGATGAAATGTTTCTAAGACTTTGACGTGTTCAGAGTTTCAGTTGACAACGTTAACTTCCATGGGTACTTAGAATTACAGTAAATAATCCCTTTGACTATATGGTTTGGAAGTATCTGTATTATAAAATATGGATATAAATGCTTTAATTAAATGCTTATTGGAATTAAGTATTCTGAAATACAGCTGTTATATTGAAATCTGTGAGTATGTTAATGTAAGTTTTTGGAAACCTCTTTTAGGAGCACTGAGACCTGGAAGCGGCCCTGAGATTTTACTGGGTCAGGGGCTCCCTCAGCAGCCTCCGCAGCAACACAGAGTGCTTCAGCAACTGCAGCAAGGAGATTGGAGATTGCAGCAACTGCATTTACAGCACCGTCATCCTCACCAGCAGCAACAGCAGCAGCAGCAGCAGGATGCTTATATGCAGCAGGTCATTCTTTTGTAACTTTAGATATGGAAGTAGTGTTGGGAAATTCATGCAGCTCTTGAATGTCAGTGAATTCCTTTTCTTTTTAAATATTTTATTCTTTTAAAGAGGGGGGAAGGAAGAGAGAAAGGGATGGAGAGAAACATTAATGTGCGGTTGCCCCTCACTTGCCCCCCACTGGGGACTCAGCCCACAACCCAGGCATGTGCCCTGACTGGGAATCCAACAGGTGACCGCTTGCTTCGCAGTCCAGTTCTCAATACACTGAACCACGCCAGCCAGAGCAGTGAATTCCTTTTGTTATCATGGGAGCCTGAACTCTAAATCCAAGTAAACATTTTGCTCAATTTTCTGACTGTTAAAGAATATTTTATTTGTACCTGAGCTACTTAAGAATACTCGGCTGAAATAGTTACATCATGGCTTTATGCAGATTGTTCATCTAGTCATTTGGCATCTTAAGTAAGTCCTGCAGTCTGTGATGATTTTTTTTAGTTACATTTTGAGTTCAAATACATAGACTATAATTAGTTGGTGTGGGAAAGGTGATATTAAGCTTTCAGAAGTATATTGTCTTAGGTTTTCTTCTTATATTTTTGCCTGGGTTGGTGTGTTTGTATATGCTGGAAGCAAGCATTTAAAGTTAAAAGGGACATAGTAAAAAAATGACCTTAAGTTCTATTCTTTGCCTCAGCAGAGCCTGCACATTTCTGGTTTCACTGAACTATTTTAAACTTAATCACTCATCATTTCTTGAAATATTTTTGAGCCAGTTCTGTGTATGGCACTTCTCATTGGTGCCTCCCTCCTCTGGTCTTGACTGACACACCCAGAGTGGAGGGTAGTTAAGTAGGTGATGGCCAGAAGACATCATTGAAGGGGAGGTGGAGGGGAGTGGGTGTTTAAGGTAGTGAGGCCTGGACACAAGTAGCTTCAGGGATCTTCATCAAGGGGCAAACACGTTTAGGTTTAGATTGCTTTGCAATATCCTTAAACTGAGCTGGGAATGATTTTAATTGAATCTGTTATGTTTCATTGATAATTTTGAAACCATTTCCAGTAAGCACATATAAGTTATAGTCACTGACCATAGCTATTTTACATTGGTGTTTGGACTCTGGAGTGTCCAAATCATTGTTATGATAAGGTCAATACTTAAAAAAAGAAGACTGTGGCACAAAAAAGGCATGAGAAATGTTGATGGATTTGTTTTTCTCATTGTAGTATCAACATGCAATGCAGCAGCAACAGATGCTTCAACAACAGTTTTTAGTGCATTCAGTGTATCAGCCACAGCCTTCCGTACCACAGTATCCTGCAATGGTGAGTGCTACATAATTTCTAGAGATTTCTCTCTGAGTATACTGTTGGAATTCACAATATGAATGGTATTATTCAGAATCACTCAAAATCAGTTCAAGTTAGTTACTTACATGTATTTCATCAAAGCCAGTCATGTATTCTCAAGCAGCTTTATATTGGGCTGAACTGTAGCACCTGAATTTGGCACGTTGTAACTGACTGATAGTATTTTTCTCTTATTTCATAATATAAGGAAAATGGATCTGTTTCCTATGATCTTTCGTCATCTTTCACTTGGCAAATGCCAATTGAAGAAAAATAAACTCAAAAGAAAATTGCCTTCACTTCAGAGAATAGTTTGACGTTTCTTTTTTTTTTAGAGATTTTATTTATTTGTTTATTTATTTATTTATTTATTTATTTTAGAGAGGGAAGGGAGGGAGATAGAGAGAAAGAGAGAGAAACATCAATGTGCGGTTGCTGGGGGTCATGGCCTGCAACCCAGGCATGTACCCTGGCTGGGAATTGAACCTGTGACACTTTGGTTCGCAGCCCGAGCTCAATCCGCTGAGCTACGCCAGCCAGGGCCTTGACCTTTCTTTATGGTAACCATGTACTAAAAACTTTAAGCTATTCTATTGTCTTAAAATATGTAAAGGGACATTTTTGAATGTCCCTTTACATCCTTCCACGTTAGCCTTAGCATCACAACCTCTTAACTGGATTTATTTTACCTTGCTGTATTTTTCTAGTAGAAAACTTCTCTTTCATATATAAGTAACTTTTTAAGTTTCTGATTTTGTTGCCAGTGTGAAAAGAAGGGACAGATTAAATAGGTGTGGGGCTGATGGGGCTTCAGTGAATTTGAGTGTTGTTTTGTATAATGGTGTTTCCTGTTTTAGGTGCAGCAGTATCAGCAGGCTTTCTTGCAGCAGCACATGCCAGCTCAACATCAGCAGCAGTCTCAGCAACAGGCATCACCTGAGTATCTTACCTCCCCTCAAGAGTTTGCACCAGCCTTAATTTCCTATACTTCACCACTTTCAGCTCAAGTTGGAACCATATTGGACTCCTCTTCTAGTGCCAACAGGCAAGTATTTTTCCAGAGAATGCAAAGGAAATTCTTGTGGATGTAGGTGTAACTGTGGAGGAGAGTCACTCAGTGGCTCCTGAATTCCTTTAGAGCCCGTCTTTTTGTATAGTGCCCCCTTTTCTCTTGCTACTTCTCTCTTCTGTTCCCTGTACATCCCCATCCTTCCTTGCATTTTGATTAGTTAATTTGACTAACTGCTGTTTGTAGAAAAGGCTTATTTAGCAGCACCCAGCAGCTACTACTTTATTAGTTTAAAAAAATAATCCTTGTAGATAAGTTAATTTAACTTTTTTAACTTATACATTATTGTTTTCAATTAATTTGATATTTACTTATAAAATGGTCTAATTTGGTTTAATTTATACAGTTGACAAAAAATTGTAATGTGGCATTTGGTTCTTTTTTAAAATGATATGATGCAGCAAGCTCGTTGTTGCTGTGACATAGGTGGGAAACAGTATACTCTGATTATTCAGATACATTGGTTAGTAGGGTGATTTTTCATGGATAATTCATATTGAAAACATTATAATAAATGAAAGAATTGTGATACAGATTTTCTCAAACTTAGATTTGATATAAGGAATGCTTTAGGATTTTGTAGTTAAGAATTTATTGACCATTATGAATACTTACTATGTTTAGATATGTAGGAGGAAGTAGCTGTTAGAGCTTTGATTATTGGAACATCAAATAAGTTTTCATACAGCACTATCTCAGGGTATGAAACATTAGGTGGGAAAAGGTACATACAACCTTTGGCTGGGAGTTGGACATGTGTAACAGAGACATTAGTAGCATACTTGTTCATCAAGCGTGTCAAGACAGACTTAAAGTATGTAGCTTATTTTAGTAAACCTTACAGCCAGTGTGTGTTGTGGGGGAGGGGGCCATGGGAGGGAGGGAAGAAACAAATGGATGTTATTAAATGCTCTCTACAATCAAAAATTAAGTATATGAATTAAGACCGGTATGTCTAAGTGGAGAGCAGGTCATAAGGTTGAAGCTTGTTTAAAGATTCAGATCAGTGTTTGCCAAACTCTATCATTTGTGTAGTTATAACTTTTTTTTTTACCCACATAGTGCTTTTTTCTCTAATAAATAGCATTACTGTAAATAATAAAATTTAAACAAATAACATTATACATTTTAAACAGATTAAAGCACTAAAATATAATCTATGAAATGCAAGTACTACTCTAATAAATTTGCAAAAAGACATACCTAAAAATAAGTCCTCTAGGGATAAGAATGGAATAATTTTATTTGTCATTAAAAATAGGATATTCTGCTTGATATTATTTAGTTTGAGAGACTATTGAAGATAAATTAGATTGATATTTTTCTTTTCATGTTAACTAGCATCAAAAATGCCAATTTTGTTGAGTGCATATGGTTGGAAAATGAAAAAATACTAAACTGTAATCTCTGGTAGAGCATATACTTACATATTCTTTACAATACTTTGTATTCTAAAGGATTACAACCTTTGGAAGTAAAGCGTCACTGATAAGAATGGAGTCATGAATGTTAAATTCATGAGAGAATTCATGTTAGCGTTCCATAGCGTATTGTTATCTAAACTTCTGATTGGTCATAAAGGAAGATGAGTATCCGGAGATCTGGGGCACACAAACACCAAGGTGCTGGTGTCTCTATCTCACGTAATTACCACAGCACTGTCTACTTAAATCTCACTTCTGGTGATATTGTTCATGGAGTCATAGTATGGTATGTTAGATAAGAATTTTTCTATTTTCTGTATAATTTTAAAATTAAAAATACTTTTAGCATCCAAATTATTTTGCATATCTCAGTTTGGGAAAAATTGGGTTGGATATCTGTGAAAGTGTTTAAGACTTGCTTTTACTCCACTCCTGTGATGTTGTGGATGGGAGGATGGTGCAGGAGAGGGGCAATGATTAGATGGGTAGAACCAATTACAAACTTGGCAAATTGACGTTAGGAACACAGAACTTCCCACAGGAGCACTGTTCCAGTCACGCTTGGTGCCTCAGTGCTACTTTACTGTTACTGTTCCTATTTAATATCAGCCTTTATACAAAGGATTATATGTTGAGTTGTATCTATTGTAACAATTTAAAAGGTGGTTGTAAGCAAATATTCCTGCTTATGACTAAGTTAGTGGAAGAAGAGAATTGGGTTTAAATGTTGTGCCCTAACTGTGTAAGGGATGCTTGAGTAGAAGATGGGAAAGCAAATACTTCCTCAGACAGAGGGAAAGGGTCACGCTGTCTTGTTGAGCATTATTATTTTCTTTTATTTCTGACTTAATCTTCTGCTAAGATTTCTACCCTCCACTGTGTTTTACTACAGCTTTAGTAAGAATATTGGAGAGTATTACTATGTTGTATTCAAATAATAGTTAAAACATCTATGCATATATTATCTATGATACAAGTCACCCTGTGTGTTAGTTATTTGTTGCTACATGATAAATTATTGTAAAACTTAGTGGTTTAAAACAATGACAGACATCTCACACACTTTCTTTGGATCAGGACTTTAGGAGTGGCTTAGTTACCTGGTTATGCACAGGGAAGGGCCTCTCATGAGGTTGCAGTTACGATGCTGGCTGTGGCTGCAGTCAGCCGAAGGCTTGGCTGGTGCTGGACGATCTGTTGATAAGATGGCTCACTCATGGCTTTGGGCAGGAGGCCTCAGTTCTGTGCCAGTAGATCTCTCCAAAAACCTGTTTAAGTAGTCTCCTTAGTAGATCCAAAGACTATTTTGAACAGGGAACTAATTATTCTGGTTTCTCCCAGAATGAGGGGTCCAAAAGAAAGGGTTAGAAGGAATCTCCAGTGCCTTTTATGACCTAGTCTAACACTGGCCATTTTTCAGCCATATTTCATTTGTTAGAATCAAGTCACTGATTCTAGATCACAATGAATGGCAGGGGATTTGGTTCTGCCCTTGGAAGGGTAAAGTGTCAGAGAACTTGTAGACGTATTTGAACACTTGTTCACCCCTCCCCCACTGCAGCCCCACTGAGTTACATTCTACCAAAAAGAATCCATAATTCACCCCAGGAGGAGGATGATTCAGGTAGGGAATCAGAATGTTCTGAAAGGGATTGGCAGGCAAGAGGGAAATGCCCTTTTTTCTTAGAGTTTTGAAGGTCCTTGAAGATAGTTTTGAAGTTAGAGATGGGAATCTGTCACATGAAGGCAGGCTTAAACCTTGGTGTTTGGTGCATTCCCAGAGTGAGTTCTACTGAATTATAGTTATAATCTTATTGGGGAATTACTATGTTTATTTTCCTCTAGCTCTCAGTGACCATTTAAGAATTTCATTCTTGGGTCAGCTATACTGAGGGCGCTTGGACTAGGGGATAAAATGAGCAACTTTTGCCCTCTCTTCCCCTTAAGACATGTGGAGACAATGGCAGTCAGCTCCCAAGGGACAGGTGAATTTGAGGGGATGTCAAGGCTTGCAAAATAGAGATTCTTCTTTGGAAGCATGTACAGATTGTGCCTTCATTACCAATATTAGGAAATCTGGATCTCAGTTAGAAATGAATTTGACAACTTTGTTATATTATCTTATTCCTTGCTATATTTGCAGGCTGAATTGAAGGGAGAGGTACCCAGGGATTCTTAGGTTCAGGAGTCTTTAGACTTTCATCTTCTCTTAAAAGCCAAGAGACCTATTAGATAACTTTCATAGAACCAGTGGTCCCAGGCTTCAGACTATAGAGACTTCAAATACCATGAAAGATTTATACAGAAAATAACCTTCATGTGTTTAGCTAATTCATACAGCAATTCTAGCAGTCAATCACTTGTTGATAGCTACATAGAGAATGCTTTTGTCAGAAGGAAAGTTATTGTGGTTTCTCAACCAGGACATAGGATCACCTAAGTAGTGATTATAAAGTGGTGACTGTTTGATATGGCTATTGATTTTCCCTTTAAGGCTTGTTCACTGTGATAATAATAGTTAATAGTTATTGAGCGCTTACTATTATATTTTTTACCAGACACTGTTCTTTTTGCTTTACATGCATTAAATCATTTAATCTGCTCAGTGATCCTATCAGGTAGACAATGTTACTCCTGTTTTATAGATGAGGCTGGGACATGGAGAGGTTAAGGTACTTACCCAAGTGTATATAGCTAGTGCACTTATGGAGCCTGCTCACATCCCAGGTGGTCTTTCCCTCAGTCCATGTCCTCATCTGCCATCTCCATCATAATAGAAGATCCACTTTTGTAAGCATTTATAAAGTATGGCATTTAAAAATTCAGCTCTAATGTTTTTCTTCTTTTTCCTCTCTTAATTATTACTCTAGGTCAGTTGCTGATAAAGAGGCAGTTGCAAATGTTACAAATCAGAAGAACATCAGTAACCCACCTGATATGTCAGGGTGGAATCCTTTTGGAGAGGACAATTTCTCCAAGTTAACAGAAGAAGAACTGTTGGACAGAGAATTTGACCTTCTAAGATCAAGTAAGGGACACTTGAAGGCTTATTTTGCCTCACAGTAAAATAACAGCTCTATAATTATTCAGCAAGGCCAAAGACTGTTTTAAGGGGGTAAATAGAAAATTCTTTTTGTGCATTTGAGGGCAAAAATCAGGCCACCTTCTTTTATACATACTCTAAAACTATGCTGTGTGTACTGGAACTCAATTGCTTGGTAGTAGCTATTAAACCCAAGATTGCTGCTAATACACTGGTTCCTAACACTTAAATATATTGCATATTTTTGAATGTTAAGTTCAGAATATCTCCAAAACATGGAAAATTAACATTCAAAAAAAACAGAGACATTAGTATCTTGCCTTATTAATAGTCATTTTGCAGCTCTGTTTTTGGCACACTCAGTAGAAGATATTGTGAGTCTGAGATGCCCTTTGAAAGTGCCTGAAAGAAAATATGGGCTACTACATTATGTTAATGTTTTGTAATGCCCTTTTAATGAGTGGTGACGTAAAAGGGCTGCTGTGTTGTCCTGATATGGCAAAAGTTAAATAAATTCTTTTCCACTTTAAATCAGCTATCTCACTGTTTTTACTTGGAATCATTGCCTTTTCTTAAACTACCTAAATATGTGTTAATCCCCGCCATACACATTAGAAGAGTTCCTTTCAGGAAAAGGGGCCTGTGGGCTGTTTTGAGGAGGTTGCCGAATAGGAGCAAAAAGCTTATTTCTGCAGTGTGTAGATAATTTTCAGGTGTCTGAGGGGGTGGGGTGTGTACACATGTGTACACACATCCAAGTGCGTTCACCCATTTTCACATGTGAAGAGAAGATCTTAGTGGTCCCTAGTTATCATTCCTACTCTCTGTTGTGCTTTAGGTACTGCCCTTTGAGAACATTTATTAGATGAAATGCCTTGTTCTGAATTGGTATATACTTTATGTAAAATTTTAAATGTCCTGCATTCATGTAAGAATAGTTGTTTAGATTTGAATTTGTATTTTACATATTGGTTATACAATTATCAAAAATTAAATTGATGATTAAATGCAGCTATAAAATGAGTTCTGAGCCTTTATAAAGGTTTATTCACTTTGGTAAAACCAATCTTACCCATATGTTTTACAATTTTTTTTTAACCACAACTTTTTTGTTTGACATTTTTCCTGCAATTTATGTTGAGTGACCTCAAAAGCAAGGTTTTAAAAAAGGAAACAAAGTATCTATTTTGGGGGGTTGGCAGGGAGACAGGGTATAACCAGAACATTATAATTTATAGGATTATTTTTAAAGCAATAGGAAAAATTAAAATACTCACTTTAATGTTTTCTGACCATGATAGTAACAAGTGGTTTGCTAACTCAGTGTTGTCTTACTCCTTGGGTAAAAAACTCCTTTTTGAAAAAAACAATTTATAGAATGGGTAAAGAATTCCCATTATATTGACCTTATAAAAATATGTTATTTTAAGCTTCATAGAATTTGTAATGACACCCAAGTTTTATTTGCTTCATATAGGCAAGAATGGCATATAAATCTTCATGTATACAGAACTTCATGAACACTGGTTTAACTTAAATTCTTAAGCTAAAATTCTTAATGGGCTATTTGCTTCCAACGTCAGGGTCAGATAACAGGTGCAATTTGTGTATGTATTTGTGCACACGTGTATGGTAGAGAGAGTTCAGACTCCATTTCGGTGTTAATTAGGCAAGATGTTAAGTCCCAAGTGAAAGTGCAGGGGGAACTCTATGTGAAGGTCAGACGTGGAGCAGCTCATCCATTTGGAAGACTGCCTGGATGGTGCCTGAGTTACAGAAGTCACTGTCACAGGTGGATGAACTGAAATTGGCACATCACACCAGAAAATGGGAATTTTAATCCCTGACAATGCCATTTAACTAGGTTGTAATCTCATTCAAATCACTTAACTGCTGTGCCATTTCCTCATGTAAAAGTTGAGTGTAATGATGCTTTTACCTCATAGGGTTCTCAAGAAAATGAAATCAGATAATGTCTTTAAAGAGTCTGGGCATTCAATAAAACGCCGCTTCCCTTTTTCTCACCTTCTGTATAAGTCTTTACGCTCCAGCCTATGAACTTATTGCCCTTTAACCAGCATTTAAGAGTATATTTAAACTATCAGTTTTCTGAGCTAGCAATTAATAAACCAAATTAGAAAGGACTTTGTGTACAAACACAATATTAAGTGTGACAGGTAACAGCAAGGAAGGAGATGCAGAAAAATGTCTGTTTTTCCCTTAATAACTGATAGTCATAATAATGGTGTTCAAGAAAGGTGAAAGAAATGTCTTTAATAAAGTATATAAAGAAGTCAGCAACGTATAGAATATAATTTAGAAAGTCTTCCTCCCAATATTTTGCTAACTGTAATATTCAGTCATCTCTAGCACTCTTTCACTCATAAGCAATAAGATAGCTAATATTTGATCTAGTTGATAGATCAAGTTTAAATTACACTGATGGGCTAAAGACTTTTTCCAGAAACTTAAGAGTTTCTGTAGAAACTAACAGTGTAGTAATGAAAGTTGATTGTTGGTTTCTCTGTCTCTAACAACTTTCCCAAAATGAATAAATACATCATTGATGTATTTGACATATTAAATTCTTCTTTTCCCTCCCTCAGGCAGTTATGTATTACCAATTTTTCAAGGTCTTTGTGAAATAATTTATATTTGGTTTATGAGAAGCTTTCCAGTGAGAAACTGAATACCTTTTTGTGTGGTCCTTAAAAATATAGCCATTGACTTTAATTATTGTTCACAATAATACATTCTTATTTTAGGTTTTAGTTTTAAAGTGGTACATGGCTATTTACTAAAAAAGAAAAGAAAAAGGATACGGTGTCTAGGGAATACTTTATGTGTATTAATCCAAAAGGTAATTTTAAAATAACATATTTTGAGACATTAAAATTTTAAAATATATTCCAAAATCATAACAAAAACTGTTATTTAGTGATCTTGAAGAAAACAGTTGATTCCATATTCCAAGTAGCAAAGGGATTTAGCATGTAAAGTAAACCAGATCCTCCTTTCTTTTGCATTTAGTGTAACTGAATGTTATTTATGGTTCTGAGTTTTTTTTACCTGTTCCTATTTAAGACCAAAACATTAAATCAGAATTAGAGAATTATTAATAAAGCTGGTTTCAGTGAGATTTTAAAAATTCAAGTTTATATTTTTTATTGTCTATTGTACCAAAACATTCAGATTAGTATGTAAACTTTAGAAATGTAATTGTCATAATATTTAACATATTAAATGCTAATTAGAATACAGATGTTTCCTTTGGGAAAATGTTTAACTTGCATTTGTTCAAATAGTTGTGTAGCTCTACATGTTAATTAAAAATAATGAATGGAATTTTTTGTTGATGGTGGATTTATTGTTTTTTCTTTCAAATTACATCAAAGCTAAAAGAATAGAAGAAACCAGACTGTGGCTGTTTTGCAAATTCTACTTAATGTGTTATTTTTCTATGAAGCCACAGAATAAAATGTATATAAACATCTGCATGTATAGTTTGTTGTAAAATATTAACTCTCATCAGTTTAAGCTAACTCAGACCTATTAAGTTTCCTTCAGAACAGAATAACAGAAATCATCTAATGTATTAGAACAGTTTCAAAAGTAACAAATGAAGAGTGTACTTTTAAACCTTATTTATTAACCTGACTGTTCAAGCTATTATTCATAATAAGCTACTGAATTAATGTTTTAGAGTAATTAACTTCTCTGATGGTAGATTTTATGGAATATATTTTGATTCTAGCATTTTTAAATCCTGAATTTTTGCCACCTATGTCAATTAAAATTCTTGAAAAGATACTTCCTTTATTCACCAACACAATTCTTTTGGGAAGGCAGGAAGAGGTAAGTTCTTATATTGAAAAAAATCAAACAAAAGTTTTGCTCTGATGTGAAAAAAACTAGTCATTGGAAAATGGAACTTAAATATACTTTAGAGGTCACTCTGTATTTGAAAAGTAATGCTGCATAACATTTCATTAGTTTTTATTTGTATATAATAGATCATATAATCGATCATTTACAATATTAATATGTATATTTATCTTGTATTTTGTGCCCTGTAGCCAGATGATCATGCAAACTTTGGAAATCTAAATGACCTTTTCTAAATCTTCCATGGAAAAATTAATTCTGTGTTTTGTGGAACAATGAGATATCCTGTTACCTGTTTTGAGATAGTTGGATAAATGGACTTTGCATTAAATGATGTCTCCATATTTCTAGTTATGGAGACCCCCTATATATAAAATATTAGTTTACTCCTATATGATAATGTTTTTACTCTTATCATTACTATGTGGTGCTTATTTGTACATTTACCATGAATTCACCCACCAGTGTGTGAGGATTTAAAGAATCTTAGTAGTAACTTTGCGGTTTTATATTCTGGATACCATTGGTACAGTGGTTTATAAACCTGACGATTATGTGAAAATGTAGATTCCCAAGCACCCACCTAGATGTTCTGCTTCATTAGGTCTGTGGTAGGTTCCAGGTAACTACTTCTTACACAGGAACCCTGGCCATTACAAATTGATGCAGGTTTAGGAAGGAAGCCTGGTCCTGATTTAGACCTAAGTACCTATGTACTCTATCTTTATTTTCAAGAATGGGGGCTCTTGGGTTGTGGTATGCCGTGGCTGTCACTGTGAGCCAATCTCTCCATTTGTTCTTCCCCACCCCTGCTCTTTCCTTTGTCCTCTCTCTCTTATGCACCAGAATTTGGGAAATGAAGAATAAATGGGGGAGTCTAGGACTCTGATGTAAGAAACAGTTTCTGGTTTTAAAGTTCCTCTACAAATGTAGTCAGGGCCTGATAATATTGGTAACCACGAGTACCCTGGTGATTCAGTGATTTTAGGGGGCCTTTCCTTATGGTATGATTATGGTTTCCCACTACAATAAATTAAAGATTCTTGGTTATATATTCTCCAGTCTTATTTTTCAGAAATATGCTATGAGACTAACGTCTCTCTTTTTTTAATGTTCAAAAATTATTTTTATTTAATCTTATTTTTATTGAATTTATTGGGGTGACATTGGTTAATAGGTTTATATAGGTTTCCAGTGTAGATTACAATGATACATGATCTGTATATTGCATTGCCTTTGATGGCCACACAATGCAGTAGGCAGAGACTAATTTCTCTTTAATAAGTGTTGAACAACAAAATATTGTTTTAAAAAACTTTTTTCATAGTACAATCAGCATTTGTTATTGATCTCCCGAATCTAGCATACAGTTAATATCTTGAAAAAGGACACCTAAATTACAGTTTCCTTGTTATCCATTGCAGTATTGGGTTTGAAAACTAGCCCTTAAGTTTTGGGAGTTTTGTGCGTGCATAAATTGTCAGGTGTGTTTCCTTAACAAAATGTTTATTAGTGCTTCAACAGAGTTTTAAGTAAAAATTTGAACCTGAAGTTTCATGTGGATTATGCAGAGTTTTAGCTATAAAAGCTAGTTATTATATCCGTTATCATAAAGAATTTAAGAATTAGTAGCTCAGAGCAGTAATTAAGTACAGGTATATTCAGGATATTGTAGACTCTTAGGTTTTGCCTTCTCAACAGTGTGCTCCCTGGACCAGTACTGTCACATCACCTGGGAGCTTGTCGAAGTACAGAATCTCAGGACCCTTCCCCGAACCATCTGATCAGTATCTCCCTTCATTCCTTTCACCCTGTGCAGGGACTAGTACATTTTTCTCTATAGGTTTATTTGTTTTTAACATACTTCATTTGTATTTCTTAGTTGCTTATCGCACCTTTGTTTTTTTGTTTGTTTGTTTTTGTTTTTTGATGATGCATGCCCAATAGAGATGCTGAAAAATTTGTTGGATGAATAAATATGTCATTAAATCATTTAATTTAGTAGAGAGATACCTGTATCTTTGTACCTCTGTGTATGTGAATGGTTTAATAACTACAAAATAACATGAGAAATGAACAATAATGTAACATATAGTGAATTGCCTTTTATTGCTATTGAGAAAGAGGATTTACTTATTTTATAAATGAGAGACCATTTGTAATATTTTTTCCATATTTACTTAAGGAGAGAGTCTGCCAAATATGTCTCCTTTAGTAAGCTGGGTTTAAGTTCAGGTCTAATATGTTACAAGTTGAAGACAACTGATGTTTAGATAAACCAATCCAAGTTATTAGGTTAATTGCATTTAGTGAAATCTAGCCCTGAGATTACAATGTGAAGTTTGCCTTTGAAGCAACAAATGTATATGAAACTCAGGACTACCCCGAGTACTTATAAAAATAAACTCTGAATTTAATATAAGCTGTTCCTTTGTTTAATTTTCACTTTTATTTTTACTATAAACCACTTTAAAAAATTTTTAAAGACCGTTTTGTTTTTATTTTGTTTTTTGTTTTGTTTCATCTTATTTTTGCAGACAGGCTCAAGGAGAAAGCATCCTCAGATAAGAATGTAGACCCACTTTCTGCTCCACATAACCATCCTCCAGAAGATCCTTTTGGTTCTGTTCCTTTCATTTCTCACTCAGGCAAGTCACATGTGTAACATCATCACTATCATTAAAAAAATTCACACAAGAACAAGATCCAGAACAAAAATCCTTATAAATATAAAGCAAAAGTAAGAATCAGGTGTTAGTTACAGAAAATAGAATAGAAAATTATTTTAATAGTTAGCACTCTTCGTCTTGTTAATGTCATTCTTTCCATTGGGTTGTTCAGTTGTCCCTCTTGCCAACATAAAAAAATGCTGATTTACGTAGTAGAACCATCACTGTTTCTTTTCACCTTTATTACTGGATACTGTTGGAAAAAGTCTGTGCATGAAACTCTCTTGTTTATGTACTAAAAATACATAAGGATACATTTTTATGCTTAGCTTGTACTTAAAAATCTTATATTTTCCTAGTTTATATATGCTCTAGAGTTGCATTTTAAAATTATGAATTCTGTATTTGTCACAATAATTAATAATCTATTCTTTTGTTCTTACATCCTTGCTTTAATTTCAATCCAGATTTTAAATATTATTTATTCACTTTTAAAAATATTTGTAGTAATATTTTCAAAATAATTACCCAGTTAACAGTATTGAGAATACTATGTTTGAGTAGGAATATTACTTTGGCATAAATGGATTTTTTTGTGTGTATGGTTATAACAGAAAAAAATGAGTTTAATCTCAAAAAAGGGAAATACACTGGGAGAAATCATGCTTTTGTAGAAGGTGAAGGTTTTGTTGAATACATATATTTAAAGTAACTGTCAGCCATGTTCTTTTATTTTTCACTCAGGCAAGTTACATGTGTAACATCATCACTGCCATTTAAAAACAAATACAAGAGTAAACAGCAACAAAAGAAAAACTTAGGGAGGTAAAGCCAAAATAAGAAATAGGGGAGCCGACATCTGCATGTTAGGCTGTACTATTCTGAAGGCACCTGATTTCCAAAGCTAAGCAGACTGTCTGTACTGTAGGTTATTTTTATATTTATCTTTTCAACAAAGAAATAGATGTTTAGGATTTCTGATGAATACATTGATGTAGTGTTGCAGCTTTTCAACAATGAGATTTGGTTATTCAGAGTGAGTGTTTCTGCATACTTTCATGTTTCATGGTTTTACTCTTTGCCACTTATTGACAAGAGTCCATAGTCTTGTTATGTTCTGCTTGTTTTTTTTGCTAATTATCTTTTTTATGAGTGACCTGACATCGTTAACTGGGGAAGACAGTTCACCCTGTCTGTTTAATTAATCTGCATAAATGTGTTCTCTCACATTCCCAATAGATTATACAAATGTTGCAACTTTAACAAAAATTCTAGTACTCCAAAAGGTCTTTATAAGTTCTCAGACATAGTAAATACTCAGTGACTTCAGATACTGATCTATGTGTGGCAGAAAGTGGTTTCAGTACTAGCTTTTTTTTCATACTCTAGAAAGAGTTGTACAATACTTTTCAGGTTTGCACATGTCTATGCATCTTCTCTGTTTTTTTGCAAGAGCTTTTGAAAGAACTCTGGGACAATGACTAGTAGAATCAGGAACTAGTGTGAGCCTCAGTGATTTGCTTTTTTGAAGGGCACCTTATTTTAGAGTTGGCCTAGGATTTTTGTACCTAGAAATAGGCTCATAGATTTGAGCTTGATTGCTACTGCTGTTATTTTGTTTTCTCTTTTTATTGTGAGTTTTTAACTTTTCTGTTAGATTTTAAGCTTGTTGAGGGTTGGAAGTATGAATTGTCTGTCTTTGAATCCTGTTAAGCAGCCAACCCAGCAACTACCTAATAATATTCATTGGATGCATGAAAAAATTATGACTGTCCCTAAAAATTAATACTCTTCAGTGTTAGGACAGTGACCTTAAAAACGCCCTTTGATATAAATGCTACCCTTCCAAAATATCTTTTTAGATTTAATGTGACCATGAACATTGCAATAGTTCAGAAATTTAGTATGTAGACTGGAGTAGAGGCGGATATGGTCATAGGAGAAATGTGCTGGAGAGAGAAGAAAAACTGATCACTTAGAAATATTAGCATTGTTAATTTATATGTATCAGATCCAAACTACATAATTAAAGTACAAAATCTAAAAATAACTGACCTGTTCATTATCTAGCTTAGAAATACTTTGTTACATATAATCTTCAGTAAAAACAAAGTATTTGGGGCATTCATTTTTCTCTAATAGTAAAATAACTGAATGCTTAAACAAAAATGAACTTCCCCATAAACTTTAGGAAGAAATTGGAAAAAGACAAAGGAATTTTCTGTCCAAGGAAAACATACTCTACCTCACATTGTGAGCATTTGGAGATTCACTGGACTAGACTAGAAGGCAAGAAACTACTACTAAGAGTGCGTGCGTGTGTGTGTGTGTGTGTGTGTGTGTGTGTGTAATACAGAGTGATATGTATACATTATAAGCTATGTTAACTTGAATTTGAGAGTTGACAGTTACTGAACATAATTTTAGGTATATCGTATAGAGAATGCTACTTTAGAAAAAAATAAATTCAGTTGTGAGGCAGAATGATACAGAATTGAGCAAGTTTTAAATCTACTGGTAAAGTATATTTCAGAAGAAAGCCCAATGTTCTGAATCTAATGTTGCTTATATACTGGTTTTATTAGAAATTGTGTCTTTCATTTTGAAACAAAAAATTGGTTAAAACTTTTAACCTGAAATTTCAAATTGTATTGGATTAGTTTTTATTTTTTTCTTCAGTTTATAATTTTATTTTTTAAAATTAAAAAAATTGTATTATTTTCAGAGAGAGAGGAAGGAAGGGAGAAAGAGAGGGAGAGAAACATCAATGTGTGGTTGCCTCTCATGTGCACCCCACTGGGGACCTAGCCCACAACCCAGGCCCCTACCAGGAATTGAACAGGTGACCCCTGGCTTTGTGGAATGATACCCAACCCACTGAGCCACACCAGTCAGGGCAAATATTAAGTACTTTAAAAAGTCAGATTTAACAAGGTTTGTAATAAGGAATTACCTCCTTAGCTCTTGCCTCCCTTCCCTTTTCCCTGTTTATGCTCCCTAGAGATAATTTTTCACGTCTGGCTTTTTAAATATATTATGGTTATTCTGCTGTTTTTTACTTTTAAAAAAATTTTAGGTAATATCTGTGGACTTTCTATTAATAGAAAGTGAAGATTTATATTACATTTAGCCCCTCACATACACACACACATACTCAAGCATACACGAGTCCTTTTTCCCTTACCCTTCCAGGAGTTTTGACAATATTATTGGTTGTCAGTTTTCAATATGTACATTTTTTTGATATATAAATAATTGTCACCATTGAAGTTTGGCATACCATGATTATGCTTCCTTTCTTTTATAAGGTCTTATTTTTCCTGAAGTTAATTATAATATATGTTTATAAAAATAAGTATGTTTTTGTTCCCTTAATATTTTTTTATGTATCTTGTCATTGATTCATCTTTATTTAGAAGTATAAATTTCTCTCCAGTGAGAGGTGGCTCTCATTTTCACTTTTACCTGGTTACAGCTCTGGTGGAGTTCTCCCATCCAAATTGCTTGCTTTCTGTGCCTGCCGCACATTTATCATGCTAGTGTTTTCTTTCCCCATCACTGTTCCTGAGAATTCTTGGATCTCCTCTTCCTCTTTCTCTGTTTGTTAATAGAGCAACTCTAGTAGTTTCTTGAGAAGGTATGCCATGCAGGAAGAATTTGAAACTTTGCTGCCTAAATTCTTTTTTTTTTCTCCCTAAACTGACACTTGATAATTCTGGGTTGGTCATTTTTCTTGTGAATTTTTGAGGCACTGCTTCATTGTATTTGAGCTTTAAGAGAAACCCAAAAGCCTCAACTAGGGGAATGGCTGTTCCCTGTACACCTAACCCCAGGCTCCATGCTCGCTAACATTTAAGAGTCTAAAATAACTTTTTCTTCTGTCTTTAATAGTTGCATGTATTCTAGATCTGGTACAGATAGCTGGCCTCCCTTAGTTCATCCACATAGATGTGTCTTTCTGATTTGTTTGGTGTCTTAGTTTATGATACTATGTTTATACTTTTAGGAAGCTTAACTGAAGATAACATTTTGGTAGACTATGTTTTAAAATGAATTAAATGTAGCTTTTTATTCCTTATTTTTAAATATATCTTTATGGGCAGAATTAAAATTTGTAATTAATTATTTATACAAAAACCAGTTATACCAAGATTCTGTGTGGCACTGTATGTGAAGGTAATACCTTATTCCATAAGTTGTAACTACCATGGAATTATGTTTACCTGTTATGTCAGATTCCTAAACTGGTATTAGTAGTATGGTACATCATAAAGAACATTGACTTTGAAAATTTAAAGCCCTGACTATGTATCTTAGTTCTATCACAAATTAACCCTGTGATACTGGGTGTTGCCTAATTTCTTGGAGCATTTCTTTATATTAAATTGGAGATCATATTAATTACTTGGTGAGTTTATTGAAAGGATTAAACGCAGGAATGTTATACAAACCATACACATTCTCAGTGTTGGTTCCTTTTGTGGCTGTTGTTGTTGGTAGTGTTATTCAAGTAGTATTTTTACTACTTACTACTAAATTCCAAAATCTTAGTGTTAATAAGTTTGCAGCTGCTATCCAGTTAGAGGTAGTACAGAGTTCTTGTAATAATGAGCTAGTATTCTCAACTGTTGAGTGAAACTTGTAAAGTGTAGAACCTGTTTATGAAGGTTTGCACCACCACCAACTATTTTAATATGGCATTTTTATTTTTTAAAAATATATTTTATTGATTATGCTATTACAGTTGTCCCACTTTTTTCTCCCCTTTATTCCCCTATGCCTTGCACCTTCCCTCCCACCAGCATTCCTCCACCCTTAGTTCATGTCCATTACCATATAAGTTCTTTGGCTTCTCCATTTCCCATACTGTTCTTAACCTCCCCCTGTCTATTTTGTACCTACCATTTATGCTACTTATTTCCTATATTTTCCCCTCATCCTCCCCCCCACCCCCTCCACACTGATAACCCTCCCCCATG